TTTTCTATTGCAGAGCGACTTCAATCACAATAACACACTTAGATATGTGGTCAGCTGGTCCTGATGGAAGACAAGTGTAGGTTCTTTCGAAATGAAAGCGGCTTGGTGTCGTAGCACTTAGGAGGAAAAAATCAATATTTTACCCTGCTGTTACCTATATCCTCCTATCACAAAATGCACTGCTCCACTGACCAATAATCGGTAAGTGACTATGGCACAACCTGAATTTCGACGCAAATTTCCTGGCCGCCCAACGTCTACTGGTGAAACACTGCGAGGTTTAGACGCTCGCCTCGAAGTGACTGGCACAACAAAAGATGCTACCAGGCGTGGCAGACCCTGGAGTATCCGTTGTGCAAAGAATATTGCTGCTGTAGCCGAGGATATCATGGAAGCGCCGACGGCCAGACGACGTGCCACGCAAATGGCTATCAGTCGACGGTCTTGACAGCGAATTCTGTTACAAGATTTTAAGATGTTTCCGTACAACGTCCAGATGGTGCATCAGCTGTTAGCTATTGACCGCCAGTAGCGTCTAATATACATTCAAGCCATCCTTAAACTCCGCCAAAAAGAAAATAATTTTGGATCAAAAATAAATATGAGTGATGAGGCCCATTTCCAACTTAGCGGCTACGTAAATAAGCAATATGTACGCTTCTGGGGCAATGAAAATCCGCGTGTAACCGACGAAGAGCCATTACACCCGCCCAAAGTCACTGTATGTATGGTGTGCTGTTTTCGCTGGAGGAGTCAGCGTACATTTTTTCTTCGAAGACGTCGCGGGCCAAACGGTTACAAAGCAATGATCAGTGACTTCTTTTTGGCGCAACTTGATATGTAGGGATTGGAAAACATGTGGTTCCAACAAGACGGTGCAACGGCACACACTGCACCTGCCACAATCGATATGTTTAAGGTTTCATTTCCCGGTCGTCGAATCTCCCGTATTGGCGATATGCACTGGCCAGCAAGATCGCCTGATTTGACCGACCAGACTTTTTTTGTGGGGCTTAAAGACAATATCCGTCAAGAATGTGAGGACCTATCGCCGGAAATTTTGGCCAAAGTAATGGAAACTGCCATAAAAAGGGCTCAAATGACAATAAACTGTGGCGGCATCATATTCTCGACTTGATCTAAAGAAAAGAACTAAAAAACCAAATAAAAATAATCAACAAGAAGAATCAAAGTTCTTCCTTTTTTAATTACAGCCAAAAAAAAAACATCGGAAGTCTACTTTTGCGCCACTTTGTACATTGAATTTGGCTACGAGAACCTGCTTCAAATTTATTGTGAATGATCCCTTATCCCGCTAAACAATTTTAATATTAAAGTTGCCAACTGCATTCATTATAGTTAAATGCAGAGAAGTTGGTAAGTATTGCCAACTATGTTCCATAGTGAACTAGTTCAGTTGTCCTTTTCAGTGAATCATTTAATTACGGAAGAAAACAGCAACAACAGCAGAAATGGTTTGAAAAGTAAAGAAGCGACTTAATTCAAAACCCGCGACGCAGTGAAAAATGTGCTCGGGGTAAAGCCATTGAAATTCCAAAAAGTGCAAGAACTTACACCGCAACAGAGAGAATGGACTCAAAAGAGCTAGAGAGTTGCTTCGCTTGGCCGAAAGTGTTGAACTGACGAATTTGGTTTTCTCCGACGATGAGAAAACATTCGTTGTGCAGCAGTTTGTAAACAAACAAAATGATCATTCGCTCGTGTTGGCCAGCAGAACTCAAGCGCCGGCCATGGTGATGATGTGGGCCGCCCTAACAGCCGACGGTCGTTCTCCGCTCGTATTCATTGACCGTGGCATCAGAATAAATGCCGAATATTATCGCGAAAATATTCTGGAGAGTGTATTAAAGCTTTGGGCACGTAAACATTTTGGCCGCAGACCTTGGACATTCCAACAGGACTCAGCACCATCGCACTCAGCACGCCACCGCCACCCAAGTTTCATTGGTCATTTGAAGGCCATAATTCATGCCAAAGTTGACCAATTCGAACAAATCTAAACGTATTCTAAAATTTGATGCTATTTTCGAATTTTTTTTTTTTGCTTTCATTCAATAGAATTTCCAAAAAAGGAAAAATTATGGTTTTTGACTTAGTTGCAGTTATTTTTATCTCACCCTGTATAGATCTCCCTAAAATCCACTTAGCATTGCAGTGTATTACTGACAGAGAGAAACTTAGTAAATTGGACCATTTAGCAATGGTAGCTCTCACTTGACACCCCTGCGTTATGTAGATGAAGTAGACAAAGCAATGTCTTGTTCAAAACAAAGTTCCTTTTCTTGAACTGAACTAGTTCCTTTATATAGTTCAACGGCCCATGCTCGGTAGCAAGTTTTATTATCAGACACAAAAAAAAATCGGATCAATTTAAATTCCCTAGAAATCTATCCTGGCCGTTTGCCGTGAGATAACTTCGACAACTAATCCATTTTACGAAACAAAATAAACACGTCTATCTTACCCACAAATATAATGACATTAAGAGTTCGGATTTTCCATGGGGTTTTCCAAAAATTCCTGCTAACCATGGCCTCACCGAATATTCCCCCAACACTTTAAAGTTTCTTATCATTTGGGGGAAATTTATAATTGCGTCTCTTTCGCGCTGCATTAAATGATCGTATTCGAAGTCCAATGATCCCACTGAAGAACAACCTGCTAGCTAATGAGACGGTCATTACTGCGTATTACTGTTGCTGGCACGTATACGGCATTGTTCAGGGGAGATAATGTAGATCCCAACATTTAGCCCAACTCAAATGAGACACGTGCGATAACACTGATAGCTAATAACCTACCCTTAATTTCAGATAAGCCACAACAAGTATTCTCCATGTTGTGATTAGAAATTTTGAAGTACTGTGGGAATATCCAATCCAGTACGGCCGGATCGGATCGGATCGGAAAGTCCCATCTCAGTTAAACCGTGAAAGAAATTCATAGAAGTGCATGAACATTGGAAAATCCTAACACTCGCAGCGAAATTCAGCAGTTATCCTAAACTACTATAAAAGCTCGAGGGCAAACTAGTCAAATCATCAGTCTCTCAAGATGTTTCGTTTCGTTACAATTTTCGCTTTGGTCAGCTTTGCCTTTGCCGGCACCTTGCCCGATGACTTCGATGGTCGTATTGTAAATGGCGTTGATACAACCATTCAGAAGCACCCTTATCAGGTTTCCCTGCAAACCACTTCGGGTGGTCATTTCTGTGGTGGTTCCATCATCAGTGAAGACATTATCGTTACCGCTGCCCATTGTTTGCAGAGATACACTGCCTCCCAGATGAGGGTGCGCCTGGGCTCCACTGAATACAATAGCGGCGGTGAATTGGTTGCTGTTAAATCTTTCCGCAATCATGAAGGTTATAATCCCACAGACAAGGTAAACGATATTGCTGTCATCAAATTGGCCACACCTGTCAGGCAATCTACCAAAATACGTTATGTTGCTTTGGCCGAGAAGACACCTGTTACCGGTACTCCTGCTATTGTCACTGGCTGGGGCTCCAAATGTTATTTGCTTTGTCTGACTGCACCCACAATTCTGCAAGAAGTCGAGGTTGATATTGTCGACGAGAAGGCATGCGCTTCCAGTGAATATAAATATGGTTCGGAAATCAAGAAAACCATGATCTGTGCTTATTCTGTGAATAAGGATGCCTGTCAAGGTGACTCTGGTGGTCCATTGGTGTCTGGCAACAAATTGGTCGGTGTTGTTTCCTGGGGTAGAGGTTGTGCCAAGGCTGGCTATCCCGGTGTCTATGCTGATGTTGCTACTCTACGCAGCTGGGTTGAAAAGACCGCCAAGGAATTGTAAATTGAAATGGAAATAAATGATATTTTCGAGTAAACAAATATTTTTAAAGACTTGTTAATTTCAATTCGTTCAACGGCTTAAGGTGAGAATACATAAAAGGCCGGCTCAAGTCCTCGGCTGGCTTCTTCGTTGATGAAGAACGGGGCGTAGGGTACACAAGTATAAATTACTTGTCGAAATTCGAAATTGTTAACTAAGTTAACCTAAGAGTCCGTTGCTTTTTTACGTAGAAGCTAACCGATGACTTAAGCCAGTCACAGAAGCCTTTAATGTATTCTCACCTTTGTAGTAGAATTGTGTAGATTGGCACCACGGTGCAAGGAAATGCAACTATGTAAATGAATATCAGTTATTAAGTAATTATAAGATCTACATGTGTATGTATTGGTATTTGATATACAGAATTTATGGAAGAATAAAAGAAGACGCCATTCGGTAAAGTGACGCCAAAAAAGTTAACACCTTTAGTTGTCGAAGTTAGGGTGTGGCTACATAAACAGCTTTATGTCGTTGCATGACATATTTTGTGACACATCATAAAGGAGTTCCAGAGTCGCACTCGAATTCTGCAGCACTCCCCTTATAATTTGACATTAAAACACATAGTCAAGATGCCAAGCTGCTTATGTACCCTCACAGTTATATCAGGTGGAATAGCCAAGAATAGTTTCTAGGTTATTGAAACTTATCGGATTTTTCGAAATTAAAAACGAGCTACAGAATATGAACCGTTGAAATCGATTGAACCATTCCAAGGAACTAGTTCCTTAAGGCAATAAAAGGAACTTTGTTTTGAACAAGTTACTGCTTAAGCTGCTATCGAATACGGATTTTTTTGATAAATCCGTGAAAAAATATCCGAATATCGGAAGGAAGGTATCGTTAAATGGGGGCTATGCAAAAACGTGGACCTACACATACAATCTTTCGTCACGGGATCAAGAACCCATTATGACTTTCAAATAGCAATTTTTAGAAAAATACATGGAAAAGTCTGGTCAAACACCTTCTGGTGGAAATTGAGATTTTAATTTTTTGACCCACCATCGACAAATGAGTCAGTAACATTCCCTACAGGGATGGTTTTGGTCTACCTGTGTAAATCTATTCAACGCAAACTTTTCGTGGCATACTTTAAGGAGTTTTAAAAAAATCCACAATTTATGTTCAATATATATTTTTTTTTAATTTTCACATAACCATTCATTTACAATGCCTTGGCGGTTTTTTCAACCCAGCCACGCAACGAAGGTACATCAGCATAGACACCAGGATAGCCCTCCTTGCCGCAACCAATACCCCAAGAGACAACACCAACCAATTTGCCACCCGATACCAATGGGCCACCCGAATCACCTTGGCAGGCATCCTTTTTGACGGCATAAGCACACACCATGGTCTCTTGAATGAGAGAACCATATTTGAATTCCGCAGAAGCACAAGCCTTCTCATCAACAATATCCACCTCCACTTCTTGCAATGTTGTGGGTAAGCTGGAACAAGTCAGGAAACATTTGGTACCCCAGCCAGTGACAACAGCTGAAGTTCCAGTGGCCGGTGTCTTATTGGCCAATTGGACATAACGAACATGCGCAGATTCTCTCACCGGCGTGGCCAACTTGATGACAGCAATGTCATTAACCATGGTCTTGGGATTGTAACCTTCGTGGAATTTGAAGGACTTCACACCAACCAAATCACCACCTTGGCTGTAATTGGTGGAGCCCAGGCGCACCTTAAACTGGGAAGCCGAATAGCTTTGCATGCAGTGGGCAGCCGTTACAACCACATCTTCGCTGATAATCGAACCACCACAGAAATGTGAGCCGCTATTGGTCTGAAGCGATACCTGATAGGGATGTTGTTCAATGGTTGTGTCAACACCATTTACAATGCGTCCATCCATGTCATCTGGCAAAACAGCGCCAAAGGTGCCGGCCACCAGGGCGAAAGTAGCTAGCAAACGTAACATGGTTAATTGTTGTCTGGATAAGAGTGGAACTATTGATTTCGCCAACCAGAACTATTGCTTTTATATCCAGAAAATGGGGCCAAAATATTATCTTATCAGGGGGGTATTTTGTGAGAAGTGGATTTGTGGTGGTTGTGTGGTTGGACATTACAAGTGGTAGGTATCTTTAATACTGCATTTGTCGATGCATTTGCACTAAAGTCCATGAAGTGGATCTAAATGGCTTGTAATTGAAGGTGAACAGTGGTTAGAACTGCAACAAGATCCTAGAAAATATCTCAATACGTTGTGAATGTTCTAAGGGAGTCAGTCAATACCTTAAATAATTGTAAAGTTCTCTGAACCGTATAGTTTTCAAAATTTAATATTTCGGTAAGAAAAAGTTCTGAAAACGTTAGCTTAGTTCTTAAAACCATTTTACCATGAATACCATGGACTTTTATGAGGTTACGTTCCTGATAATGCCATACTGGATGCAAACGGATTTTTTTTTCTTCAAAAATCTTGGTGCTCTTAGGAGGCTGATGAATATTCTCAATATTCGTAAGCACCGAGAATTCGTGTTTAGTTAGTCAACATTTAAGATTCCGGGATTTGGTAACACGCCCCAAAAACTCTTTTAAAGTGATTTGGAGCGTTTTTAGTTGCTGAGTGGTGTTGGCTAGGGTTACCTAGGTCGATTTTTGCCGGTACGGTTCAGAGAAGAAGAAAAAGTTCTGAAAACGTTAGCTTAGTTCTTAAAACCATTTAACCATGAATACTATGGACTTTTATGAGGTTACGTTCCTGATAATGCCATACTGGACGCAAACGATTTTTTTTTTCAAAAATCTTGGTGCTCTTAGGAAGCTGATGAATACTCTCAATATTCGTAAGTACCGAGAATTCGTGTTAAGTTAATCAACATTCCGGGATTTGGTAACAGGCCCCAAAACTCTTTTAAAGTGATTTGGAGCGTTTTTAGTTGCTGAGTGGTGTTGTCTAGGGTTACCTAGGTCGATTTTTGCCAAATGGCTAATTCATGTTACAATTTATTTTAGTTTTATTTTTATACCCTCCACCATAGTATGGAGAGTATATTAAGTTTGTCATTCCGTTTGTAACACCTCGAAACATTTATCCTTGAATGGTCTTAATTCAGGTTTTCTTTGAATAGAAGACCAAAAGTATGTATTTTATTGTCAAAGTACATTAAATGGGCTAAAGGAACCACAGGACATCTTTGATAGATAGAGGTCCTTAATGGTCCTCTGTGTAGCAGGTTATTAAAAGGCTTTCTATGGAAAGGAGTAGACTTTGGAGACCTGATTAGATTTTTTTCTCTACGAAAAAAATTCTCCTCAGGAGGACCTGAGGGAGATTTTTCTAGACGAAAAAGCCTTCCAAATTGGATCTGACAAGATTTTTCTAGACGAAAAGTATCCTCAGGTGGATCTGACGAGATTTTCTCTTCTCAGTTGGACCTGACGAAATTTTTCCTAGACTAAAGAGTCTTCTCAGGCCCACCTGAAAGACTTTTTCGTCAACAGATTTTTTTCTAGACAATAAAGTCTCCTAAGGTGGGCCTGACGAGATTTTTTCTAAACGAAGAGTCTCCTGGAACACCATCTATGAATGGAAGATTTTTAAAAAAAAATATATTGAAAAGATGATCTTCAATGAGACTTTTGCGAAGAGTTCCTTTAAGATGTCTTCAATGAATAGAGGATATTCTTTAGATAGCCCTAGATACCTTATAAAGCCCTTATTCAGATAATTTATATATTATCCTTTAATGAGGGCCTTCAACAAACCTTCCAATAGCATTTCTTGGCATAAAATTCTTCCCATAGGTTTTTTAGCCCTTTATATGGGAAAAAAGGCTCAAAGGGATAAAGGAGCTTTAGGACATCTTCAATAGATAGAGGTCCTTTAACGTTCTCATTAAAAAGCCTTCTATGTAAGACACATACATGCATAGAACTGTCAATGTAGGTCTAAGTTTTGTTATAGTCCCCATATGACTGTACCACCTAGATATTCGGCATTTTGATGATGATTTGTGTTACACTTTTCACTGGAAATGTTTCAAAATTGGAATTCGAATTTTCTCATGGTTACAACATCATATGACCGAAATTTGCATATGAAGGTCCAGGTCTTCGTATAGCCCTTATATAACAGTACCTCCTTAAATTCGGTATTTTGGTAATTTTAGCGACATTATCCGCCGGAATTGTTGTAAATTTCGCATTGAAAGTTCGTTAGGTTGTGTTTGTTTGGATAGTAATTTTGACACTAGAATCCATACAGGTAGGTCTCTTTACTTGTAACTTGCCCTACCATGACTTCATTGTAGCTTGGGTAGACTTCCTTTCTGGCAACTTTTTCAAAGTTATACCACATTCCATTCATTGTGCAATGGGTTAATCAGTCTTAAGATCCAACGATTCCAGGCAGCCCTTTAGGAAGCTAGGTAATGTTAATAAGTTAGAATTTTTTTCAAGAAAGCGTTGACCTCCTTTAAATTGGCGAGCTCGTAAACGTTGCAAACTCTGTGATACCTAAAGGTGACAAAGGAGCGTAGGGCCAAAATCGAACTAGGTCAACCTAAAACTCATTTGTTTCTCTACGAAGAAGCCAGCCAATGACTTAGGACAGTCAAAAAAGCGTTTTATGTATTCTCGCCTTAAGAATGTTTTGTTAGCTATCTTGAGGTTTAAGATTTCAATTCTAATTCCTATTAAAACAAAATCCAAATCAAGCTATTAGATTTCGCAAAAAAAACTATATTGACCTTATCACTGTTTAGATTTCGGCCAGAATTTACAGCTGGTGATATGATTATCTCAGGGAAAATCGGCAAATTTTCTATAAAATTATTGATACGGAATTGGGAAAGATTTAGTTCGACTGTTTACCTTGCAGCACACGGACACATGGCAAATATTGGTGGTTTGGTTCTTTTTTTCTTGGCATCTGCCCTGGTAGCTGGCAAACCCATTCAGGATGAGGATATCGAACCATCGCTGAGACTCGATGGACGTATTGTGGGTGGCTATGCTGTGGATATTACCCGCCATCCCCATCAGGTATCGATGCGGCGTAAGAGCTGTGACGATTGTGCCTTCTCACACACCTGTGGCGGCAGTATTTACAATGCGAAGGTCATTGTGACGGCGGCGCATTGTGTCAATGGACGTGTGGCGGATAATTTCATAATTGTGGCAGGCACAAGTACCCGTAATGGCGTGGATGGTGCCGTGTCGCGTGTCGATAAGATTATTATGCACGAGAACTATAACGCTTCCGTCTATGATAATGATGTGGCTTTGATGATTTTGTCACACCCTTTGCCATTGAATGGCTTCACCATGGCGCCCATTGAATTGGCCACAGAAGTTCCGTCGAAGGGTTCCAAGTCTACAATAAGCGGTTGGGGTACAACTACCGCGGGTGGTTTTGCTTCAAATCAATTGTTGGCTGTCGATGTGCCAATTGTGGAAAATAATCGTTGCGATGCTGCGTATGCTGTTACCTATGGTCCAGGACGTATCACCGATGCCATGTTGTGCGCCGGTGTCGAGGGTACCGGTGGTAAGGATGCCTGCCAGGGCGATTCCGGTGGCCCACTTTTGGTAAATGGCAAGTTGACTGGTATTGTTTCGTGGGGTCGTAGCTGTGCCTTGGCCGATTATCCTGGGGTCTATGCAAGCGTACCATATTTGAGGGATTGGATATTGGAAAATGTGGCTGCCAATTCGTAAAAAAATTAAAATAATTAAAAGACTTTGTGGTAGTTTATTTTTAGTAATAAAGTATTCAATATAATTAGGAATTTTTGGAAAAAAAGAGATCTCGATTATCTGATCGGAAAATACTTGGGAAAGACGAAAAAAAAAACAAAAAATATTCAATGCTCCAACACAGTTTCAGCGAAGCCTCGCAATTCATGAGAAAAGTTTGAGAGAAGTCCTTGAGTTTTTAGGGAGCCTGAGAGAGACTGGGAGCTCTGTAAAAGTTCGCGAGTTCCATAGAAGTCAGGGAGTCCTAAGAAGTCTGGAAAAAAGTTTAGAAGTTCTTTAAAAATCAGAGATTTTCTTGAGATTTTTTAGGAAATTTGGGTTTATAAAAAAATCTGGGAGTATTTAAGAAGTCTAGGCTTCTTCTGAAATCCGGAAGTACTTAGAAAGCTAAGAAAATTATAAGAAGGTCTGGCAGGTTGGGAATTGTCGAGGAGCTGTGAAGAAATCTGAGAATTTCTTGGAGGTCAAGGGCATCTTAAAAATTTTGCATGTCCAACGGAAGCCTAGGAGTTCTAAGAAATTTAGGGAGATCTTATACACACTGGTAGTTCTTAGTAGGAAAGAGAGTTGTGTAAGCTATGAGAATGTCTGGGAGTTCTTAGGACGCCTGGGATTTCTTGGGATGAAGAAGGCTTTTTTAAAAGTAAGGAAGTTCTTAAGGAGTTAAGATAGCTCTAGGAAAATCTAAAATCTAATCTAAGTACATGGTAGATCTGGGGGTTCTTCTGGGCTTCCAACGAAAGCTAAAAAACTTTAGGGAGAGCGAATGTTATAAGAAGAAGAAGTAGCTCTAGGAAAAACTGGAAGCACATAGTAGGTCTTAGGAACTTTAGGGAGGGGGAATGTTTAAAGAAAGTCTCGCAGGTTGGCAGTTGTCGAGGATACTAGGAGCTGTGAAGAAGTCTGAGAATTCCTTTGAAGTCAACGGTATCTTAAAAAGTTTGGGTGTCCAACGGAAGCCCAGGAGTTCTAAGAAATTCAGGGATTTTTTAAGAACTCTGTTAGTTCTTAGTTGGAAAAAGTATTTTGGAAGTTCTGTTAAAGTCTGGGAGCTCTTAGGATGTCTGGGGATGTTAGGGGTTTTCTACAGTTAGGAAGTTGTTAAGGAGTTAAGGAGCTCTAAGAAAGTCTAGTAGTTCATAGACCTTCTATTTTCTCGGCTTAAAAACTTTAGGGAAAACTTTATAAGAAAGTTTTGCAGGTTAGCAGTAGTCCAGGAAACTATGAACTGTGAAGAAGTCTGGATGTTTCTTTTGAAGTCAATGGGAACTTAAAAAGTTTGGGTGTCCAACGGAAGCCTAGAAGTTCTAAGAAATTCGGGGAGTTCTTTTGAACTCTGGGAGTTTTTTGTAGGAAAGGGAGTTATGGAAGTTCCAAGAAAGTCTGGGAGCTCTTAGAATGTTTGGATGGATGTTTTTATGTCAGGGAGTTTTTAAGGATTTGAGGAGCTCTAAGAATATCTGATAGTTCATAGGAGGTCTGAAAGTATTTGGGAGTTCCCCCCAGACTTCCTATGAACTCTTGGACTTCCTAGGAACTCTATGACTTCCCAAGAAAGCATAAAATTGATTCCCACGCTTAGTAACTTGAGGAAGTTCCTATGAACTCTGGAAGTTCTTAGAAAGTATTAAAGTTGTTGAAGTTCTGAGAAAGCCTGGGAGCTCTTAGGATGTCTGGCAGTAGTTCAAAGAGGTTTGGGAGTTCTTCTGTAGTCTCTGAGTTCCAGGAAAGACTGGGAGTTCTTATGAGTCCCCAGACTTCCTATAAACTTTCGGACTTCCCAGGAACTCTTAGGGTATATGGCAATAGTTTGTAGGACGTTTGGGAGTTCTTCGGAAGTTTGTGAGTTCCTAGAAAGAATGGGAGTTCCTCTGATTTGCCAGATTGCCTATAGACTCTCGGACTTCCTAGTAACTTAATGACCTCTCAAAAAAGCTTAGAATTGATTTGAGCTTCCCATGAACTCCTCGGTGCTTAGTTACTTTGGGATACTTAGGACTGTCGGGAAATTCCTATGAAATCTGGAAGTTCTTAGAAAGTATTAATGTTGTTAAAGTTCTGAGAAAGTCTGGGGGCTCTTAGGATGTCTGCAGTAGTTCATAGGAGGTCTGGGAGTTCTTATGTAGCCTGTGAGTTCCAGGAAAGACTGCGCGTTCTTATGATTCCCCAGACTTCTTAAGAACTTTCGGATTTCTCAGGAACTCTAAGGATATCTGGCAATAGTTTGTAAGACGTCTGGGAGTTTTTCGGAAGTTTGTGAGTTCCTAGAAAGAATGGGAGTTCCTCAGATTCCCCAGATTTCCCATAGAATCTCGGACTACCTAGTAACTTAATGACCTTTAAAAAAGCTTAGAATTGATTTGAGCTTCCCATGAACTCCTCGGTGCTTAGTTACTTTGGGATACTTAGGACTGTCAGGAACTTTTTAAATGTATAGACATTTAGTAAAGCTCTTAAAGCATAGAGAATATTTGAAATGATTAGAACAACTTGGATGGGGGTTTTAAAGAAGTAAAAAAATTCTTAAGAGCCTGGAGAGCTTTAAGGAAGTCTTGCGGTTTATAAGAGACCTGAGAGTTCGGAAAAGTTTGAGAGTTCGTCAGAAAAGTGTGAGTTCTTAAGATTCTCCAAACTTTCGAACTAATTGACTTTCCCAGAGAGTCTAGCATTGAATTATAGAAATTCTCTGAAGGAAATTAACGAATTTTTATGAGACTCTTAAATTTAGAGAAATTCCGGAAGCTTGGACAATTTTACGTGGGAAACTCATAGAACTTTCTTCGTCTTTAACTTTGCAATTCCCCAGAGATTTAAGTGTTATCTTTTTTAGTTCTTATGCTACTTCAAAACTCATATGAATTCCGAATAAATAAAATAAAATATCAAAATTTTCTTCCTTGAACTTTTTGAGAAACTCCGTAACATGCCTAAGAAGACATGGTTTCTACCACTAATTCCCCTCTGTCTCTTATCGATTGTAACTTCACCCTGACCCGTTCTCCTCATTCATCACTCACACACACACACATATTTTTCTTATCGTGCGTACAGCATTTGATTATCTCTGATATGATTGTGGGTTAATAAATCAGAAAAAGTTTGCTATAAAACCATTGATACAAATCTGCCGGGAATTTAGTCTGGCTGTGCGGCTAACTGAGAACAGAATGTCGAAGTTGTCGGTTTGCAATATTTTACTCTTGACCATTTTGGCCCATGTGGTTGTGGGACAACCCCTTAAGGATGAGGAACTGGCGCCCAATGTAAATCAGGATGGTCGCATTGTTGGTGGCTATGCCGTGGATATTACCAAACATCCGCATCAGATTTCGATGAGGCGCAAGAGTTGTGAAGACTGTACCTACACGCACAGCTGTGGCGGTAGTATTTACAAGGCCGATGTCATTGTGACCGCAGCTCATTGTGTCAATGGACGGGTGGCGGAAAATTTCATAATTGTGGCCGGTACCAGTACCCGTAATGGCGTCGATGGTGCTGTGTCGCGCGTAAAGAAAATCGTGATGCACGAGAAATACAATTCATCCGTGACCGACAATGATGTGGCCCTGATGTTCCTTGCTACTCCATTGCCTCTGGATGGCATTAAAATGGCTCCCATTGAATTGGCCAGCGAAGTTCCGGTACATGGTTCCAAGTGCACAATAAGCGGTTGGGGTACCACATCCTCGGGTGGTGTTTCCTCCAATCAGCTGTTGGCTGTCGATGTACCCATTGTTGATAATGAACGCTGCGATGCTGCCTATGGTCCAGGACGTATTACTGATGCCATGTTGTGTGCCGGAGTTGAGGGTGTCGGTGGCAAAGATGCCTGCCAGGGTGATTCCGGTGGTCCGCTTTTGGTGAATGGCAAATTGGCCGGCATTGTTTCGTGGGGCCGTAGCTGTGCTTTGCCCGATTATCCTGGAGTCTATGCCAATGTGCCCTATTTGAGAGAGTGGATTTTGGAGAATGTTGCTGCCAATGTTTAAATTAAATATTTGCAAAAATAAATGAAATTTTTTTTAACATATTTTTGGGCGAAATCATTGGCGTAGCTTTGTGTAATTTTTGTTTTTGCTGTTTGTGTGTTGGGTTTATCAGTGGCTGAACACTTATGGTCGTAAAATGATAAGCTACCATGATGGACGTTTCGTTTATTATTTAATATGGGTCGTTAATAATATTTAATGGTTTGTTATGGAGAACCAAAGATTGTGTACTGACAACGATTGCACTGCGAAAAAAAAAATCAAGGAGGTAGTGGAAAAATATACTGTCAACTCCTTGAAAATACCCAAAAACCCTCTAGGAAAATTGGAGACCTAGAACTTCATTGCTTCAGTCCCTATAAACCTTCTTCATTTATTTTTCTTTTCTGAAAGCTTCATCAGGTCCTGTGCTTCCCTGCAGTTTCCATTATCCACACGAGTATCCATAAGCTCCATGAGTTACATTAAATTTCTACAGTTCCAACGAACTCGACGAATTCCCAGGAAGTCTAAGAAGTGAATTTCATGACCTCCCATGCCCCAACATTGATATGATGAACTCCTAGAGCTCCTTTGAACCCCAAGAGTTCCTTTGAACGTCACAAGTTCCTTTGAGGGTTCTTACGAAGTCCTAGTAGCGCTTCGAACTCCTAGTACTCCGACGAACTGCAGAACTTCTTTAAAACTCTCGGAGTTTGTGGAATTCCTAAAATTGTTGTGAACTCCTAGTGTGCATTTAGACTGTTACCGTTCTTTTGAACTTCACTTGTTCGTTCGGTTAGAGTTCCTTTGAACCCTGCTCTATAAACTTCAAAAGTTTCTAAAGGTGAGAACACATAAAAAACATTTTTGACTGGTTTAAGTCATCGGCTGGCTTCTTTGGAAAATAATAAAGGAGCGTAGGACCAAAATCGAACTAAGTCAAGCAAAAACTCCTTTGTTCCCCTACGAGGAGGCCTGCCAATGACTTATACTTGTCAAAATAGCGTTTTATGTACTCTCACCTTAAGAGACTCACAAGTTTCTTATTCCCAACTCCACAATTAATTATTTATTCCACGAGTCCCTAAAAAGCTTCTGGTGACTTACACGAATCCCCATGAACTCCACAAGTTCTTTTTGGGCATCTACAGTTCCCATGAACTCCTTAACATACTATGAACTCTTACAGTTATATGACGTTCCCATGAACTCCTCGAGTTTTATGATCTTCCCAGCATTTGGAGTTTCTTCGAGTTTCTTGAATGTATGTGAGCTCTGCGAGGTCCTGTGAACGCAATGAGTTCCTGTGAACTCAACAAGTTCCTTTGAAATTTACCAGTCCCTGTGAACTCTAGCAGTTCCTGGGGACTCTACAAGACCTTGTGAACTCAGAAAATCCCACGAGTTCCTGTGAACTCCACCAGTTTCGATAAACCTTACCGGTTGCTATAAATATTATAAAAAATCCATAGGGATCTTATGAGCTCTTATAGTTCCTACAAACACCTACAATCCCAAAGAACACCGGAGACCTCAGAAATTCCTTCAGTTCAAATGAATATCAGGAGTTCCCATGAATTTCGGTGAGTTCCTGTAGACTATACCAGTTCATATGAACAACACCAGTTCGATTGTAAACTCTTGGAGTTCTATTGAACTCCACGAGTTCCTGTGAACTCCCAAAACTGTTTTGAACTTCTATTGTTTGTGTGAGCGCTGAAAGTTCCTATTAAAAAACGAGTTGCATAAACTTAAAGGGGTGTTTGTTAACTGAACGAGTTGCATGAACTGCATGCGTTCCAGTGAACCAAAAAAGTTCCGCATGAACTGAACTAGTTCTAGTGAACTGTTCGATTTTCGTTTTTATTTTTAGTTTCTCAACCAGTTCCTGTAAACTATTCCAGTTCATGTGAACTCAATGAGTTTCTGAGAGCTCAATGAGCTCCAAGAGTTCCAATGAACACCAGATAATTCCTTGACCTCTTGTAAACTACACCAGTTCCTATGAACTCCACTAGAACTGAACAAGTTATTGTGAACTGAACGAGTTCCTATAAACTAAACATGTTCCCATGATCTGAACTTGTTCTTGTGAGCAGTTCGATTTCCTTTGTTATTTTTAGTTTCTTTAATATTTACGAGTTCCTGTCAACTCAACCAGTTCCTGTGAACTAAACCAGTTTGTGTGAGTTCCTACAAGCTCCTAGAGTTCCAATGAACACAATAGATGTCAGGAATTGCATAAGCTCAAGTTAATGTCAAGTGTTCCTGTGAACTCCACCAAAACTGAACAAGTTTTTGTGTACTGAACGAGTTATTGCGTACTGAACGAGTTCCCATAAACTAAACCATGATCTGAACTAGTTCTTATGACCTGTTCGATATCCTTTTTTATTTTCTTTACATATAAAGTTTCACGGAAGCCATGATTTTCTATATTGCACAGTGAAGCCCTCTGAGATCCAGATTCGTTTGTAGGCTCTTGGAATTCTATTGAACCCCACGAGTTCCGGTGAACTCTTAAAACTGTTTGGAACATCTATTGTTTGCGGGAGCGTCAAATGACTCTATGAACAAAACTAGTTCCGTAGAATGAATAAGTGTTCATAATCTGAACTAGTTCCTGTGTTTTCTTCCTTTTTTGTTGTTATTTCATTTTCTTTACTGGTGATGAATTCCTACAGATCCCATGATTTTCTAGATTTCTTTATTCCGTATATTTTTGTCAATAAATCACACCGATTTATGGTTATCGTTTTACGGCCATCGACGATAATTAAATGTGAGGTTTATCTCTTATTACCCTGGGCCATAAAATCCCTATCTATGGTCCGCTATAAAACCCTTAGCCTCCAGCTAACAGAGGTTTAGTATCTCTGCGTAAATTACACGATCAAAATGGACAATTTTTACTCCCATAATTTCATTGGTTTCCTACTTGCAATCCTTATAGTCTATGCAGCGGCCCAACCGCTGCAACAAGAAGCCCCCGAATCCAAACTCTCCGAAAATGGACGCATTGTTGGCGGCTATGCAGTGGACATAACACGTCATCCCCATCAGGTGTCGCTGAGACATAAACTCCTCTCTTCATGGCAATATGCCCATATGTGCGGTGGCAGTATTGTCCGTGAAGATGTCATTGTCACCGCTGCCCATTGTGTGAATAATCGTAAGGCGAAAAATTTCATAGTTGTGGCTGGAACTGTAAATCGTGCGGGCAGCGATGGCTTTGTGGCACGTGTGGAGAAAATTGTCCAGCATGAGAGCTATAATTCCTCCATAACAAACAATGATGTAGCCCTGCTATTCCTGGCCACACCATTGCCATTGAATGGTGTAACCATGGCCGCTGTTGAACTGGCCAAAAATGTTCCGGTACAGGGCTCAAAATCTGTTATCAGCGGCTGGGGCACCACTGCTCCTGCCGGCTCAGCTTCAGATACGCTTTTGGCTGTCGACGTGCCCATTGTGGAAAATGAACGTTGTGATGCGGCTTATGCTGTTAGTTATGGCCCGGGACGCATTACCGATGCAATGCTTTGTGCTGGCGTTGAAGGTGTCGGCGGCAAAGATGCCTGCCAAGGTGATTCGGGAGGTCCCCTCTTGGTGCAGGGCAAATTGACGGGTATTGTTTCGTGGGGTCGCAGCTGTGCTTTGCCTGATTTTCCCGGTGTCTATGCCAATGTGCCGTACCTCAGGGAATGGATATTGCAAACAATTGAGGCAAATGTGAAAAAATAATCGGATGTTTTAGATTTAAATAAAAAAATGTTTTATAAAAATGTGAAATTTATTTTTTTAAAGAAATATTGAATGAAAATTAAAAAATTGAATAAGGAAATATTTTCCTTTTCACTTTTTCATAAAATAAAAGAATTCATTTTCCATTGATATCATTCTCCAAACTCAAGAAATTATGTTAAAATGTGGCAAATAATCGATTTTGTGTACCCTACTTTGTGACGGTGACATTGGGTAAAAAAACGAACTAAGGCATGTTCACATGGCAAGATATTATCTGTAGAGCAGTAAAATTGATTTCCTCACGTGATCGGTACTAAAAATAGTTGATGAGATAATTAAATTGAAAAAAGAATATGAGAACTGATCATATGATGCTGTATTGAAAAACATTTTTTCAAAAATGCGAAAATATCAAAGATTTAAATAATTTGGAATTTTTCAATAGCCCAAAATCTAATTGTTTAGAAAAAAAACTTTCAAAAATTATTATTTTCCATTTCACTTTTTCATAAAATAAAATAAACTCAAGAAATTAAGTTAAAATGTGGCAAATAATCGATTTTGTTTACCCTATTTTGTGACGGTGACATTGGGTAAAAAAACGACCTAAGGCATGTTCACATGCCAAGATATTATTTGTCATACATAAACTGTACAGCAGTAAAATTGATTTCCTCACGTGGCCAGTCCTAAAAATAGTTGATGAGATAATTAAATTATAAAAGAATATCAGAACTGATCATATGATGCTGTATTGAAAAAAATTTTCAAAAAAGGGAAAATATCAAAGATTTAAATAATTTGGAATTTTTCAATGGTCCAAAATCTAATTGTTTAGAAAAAAAAAAACTTTCAAAAATTATTATTCATGCCTATAAAGATTAAAGTCTCATTAACACCGAACATATAGCAGCGGAACACATTAGTAAAATTGTCAATTCTCTCAACTTCATGTCAAATCAATGACATCTCTTCGTAAAACGCATATTTTGGTGTCGGTATAAATAAAAATTATGGTTTTAATGGAATATTTCTCAGAAGAACTTTCAATTTTCTTTTTAAATATTTACCCTGCATATAAATTTCCTCCGTGTACTTCGAAAGAATTCAACAGCCCAAAAAAAAACTTCTTCGCCCGGTAGTAAAATGATTAAAAACAATAATACAACCTCCTTATCGGCTATCTTAAATCCCCATGCCATATCGATTGATAAGTTTGACGTCGCATAAATATGCCGCTTTGCCGAAAATTCCCACTTCTCAATCAGTAATAAATTAAACTTGAATATGTTTAGATTGGCGGTATTGCTACTGGCCATTGTCGCTGCTGGCATTGAGGCTGCTGCTCCATTGACCAACACGGGTCGTATCATTGGAGGTCGTGAGGTGACCATTGCCAAACATCCACATCAGGTGTCATTGCGTTACAAGAGCTGCGATGAATGCACCTTCCTGCATGGCTGTGGCGGTGTCATTTACAATGCCAATACCATTCTAACGGCAGCCCATTGTGTCCACAAACGTGAGGTGCATGAGTTCATTGTGGTTGCCGGTACCGATAATCGTTCCGGTTCGGATGGTATTGTTGCTCTCGTTGAGCGTATAGTGCTGCATGAAAACTACAATCCAGCCCTGACGGAAAACGATGTGGCCCTACTGCATTTGGCCACCCCTATTGTGCTGAATGGTGTCAACATCGATGCTGCTGTTTTGGCAAAGCAGCCAACCAAAATCGGGGCCACAGCTTTGGTTACCGGTTGGGGCACCACATCGGAGGGTGGCATGAATTCGCTGAAATTACAAGAAGCCGAGGTAAAGGTAATCGATCATGAGGTGTGCAATGATGCCTACGGCTTTGGACGCATCACCGAGGACATGCTGTGTGCCGGTGTTGTGGGTGGCGGTCGAGATGCCTGTCAAAATGATTCTGGTGGTCCATTGATAAGCAACGATACACTGATTGGCATTGTTTCATGGGGTACGGGTTGTGCTCGCCCTGAATATCCGGGCGTCTATGCCAATGTGGCCTATTTTAGGTCGTGGATTGAAACCAATGCTAAGGGAAATTGATAAATTTTTGCCAACGAAAAAATTGAAAAAAGTTAATAAAGGTTTTTTTTGATTTACAGCTAATTTTTGGAGATTTTTTTTTTGTCTAGACAAGGGTATTAATTGCGGTTGAGCAGGAGAGCAGAAGATTGGCGGGAGATTGCAAAAATAGGTGAATGTTTGGAATATTTAATCAAGGGATTTCAAGAGTCCCTTATTTGTGCATGCAACAAAGAATTGTTCGATTCAATTAACGCGAATCAGGATTTAAGGCAAGAATACATAAACCGTTATTTTTTAACTGACTTAAGTCATCGATTGGCATTTTCACAAAAGAAAAAAAGGGTAAATTATGGGCCAAGATTGAACCAAAGATAAGATCACATAGAGGAACAAAGAAGTTTTAGGTTGACTTAGTTCGATTTTGGCCTTACGCTCTTTTCTCTGTCAAAAAAAGTATTTTATGTACTCTCACTTGAAGTCAACCCAAATCTCCATTGTTTTTTTTACGGAGAGGCCAGCCTAAAGGGAAGAGTACATGAAGGGGTTTTTTTTTGTCTGGCATAAGTCATCGGCTGGCTTCTTCGTAGAGGAATAAAGGAGTTTTAGGTTAATATAGATCGATTTTGGCCCTACGCTTCTTTGCTTTTTTTCGAAGACGCCAGCCGATGCCAGTCAAAAAAGCGTTTTATGTACTCTCACCTTTACTTCTGCATTTTCATTTTTTTAAATTATAATTTTAAAAATTATTTGAATATGCCTTCCAATATTAAAAAAAGGGTTGCCATTACCGATTTGGCAAATGAAATTTTTCTGTTTTTTTTTTCTGTGGAAAAATCTACAGATTTTCCTTACAAAGGTCAGTAGAAAATTTTACGCAGATCATTATCATAAGTACAGATATACAGAGCCTAATTCCAATATGCCAAAAGAATTTGCTCAAACATCTAAATGTGGAGGTGTAAGTGTGATGTTATCACAAACGATAAATGAATGAATGCGAACTACCTTAATATTGATCATCTGTAAGCAGATCAGCTGATTAGCAGCTGTAGTTTTAAGGATTGTAAATGTTGTTCGAAATCAAAAGATTAAATTAAACAAGTAAAAAAGCAGCTATGTTCGGCCGATCCGAATTTTTAATGCCCTTTACCACTTCTAAGGAAATTGAAAAACTTCAAAAAAAAATCCGATGAACAACTCTAGTTTAGTAAAAACTCTTCGATTTTTTCCCAGAGGTAGGTATTTTTACCCTGATTCCGGGAAACTATTTTTTTCTTGGGGACGGACCCGGGATCCCAGATTTTTGATTCCAAAGTCAGGGCTTAAGACCCGGCCTGGACCCGGACCCAATTACCCGATATAGACAATATAGGTATTGTAGCATTTTGGAAAGGTGAGAGTATCAGCTATAAACTGCCATCAATTTTGTCGACCCCCATTAGGGGCCCTTTTTGAACATTTTGGGGGTTTTATAAAAAATATGGGTCCAAAAAATCGATAATTTGACTATATTGTATATATCGGATAATTGGATCGGGGTCTAGTCGGGGTCCTGAACCCGGACTTTGGGGTCCCGGGTCCGTCCACCAAGAAAATAATAGTTTCCCGGAATCAGGGTAAAAATACCTACCACTGGAAAAAATTTCGAAAATTTTGAAGAATTTTTACTAAACTAGAGTTAAGCCAAATACGAAAACTACCACTTAAATGAAAACCGTAATATATATACGAAGACGTGGACCTGCATACGAAATTTTTTGTCATAGGCTGTAGTGCCCATTACGAATTTCAAATACGAAATTTGTTACAATTACGGTGAATAATGTCGCAAAAATTATGATAAAGTATCGGGAGGTACCGTCATATGGAGGCTATATGTGGACCTGCATACAAATTGTTTTGCCGTAAGTTATGGTACCAATTAAGATCTTTCAATACAAAATTTGAAACGATTCCGGTGAATAATATCGGGAGGTACCGTTATATGGGGGCTATACGAAGACTTGGACCTGCATATGAAAATTTTTGCCATAGGCTGTAGTGCCCATTGGTATCTTCCAGTATGAAATTTGAAACGATTCCGGTGAATAATGTTGTTGAAATCATCAAAATACCGAATATCGGGAGTTACCTTTATATGGAGGCTATACGAAGACTTGGACCTGCATACAAAATTTTTTTTCATAGGCTGTAGTACCCGTTACGAACTTCAAATATGAAATTTTAAATAATTCCGGCAAATAATGTCGCTAACATCATGAAAATACCGAATATCGGGAGGTACCGTTATATGGGGGGCCATACGAAAACGTACACCGACATGGCCCATTTACAAACTTAACCTGCCTACTGATAAACTAGGCATGTATGCAAAATTTTAGCCTTCTATCTCAATTCGTTCGAAAGATAGCGAGATTACAAAAGAAAGACGGACAGACAGAAGATCATAATTTTTTTACATAATTTTCTTGAATTGATGTAAAAAAAAAGAAACTAAAAGACGAAAAAAATTAATCCCCAAGATTCTCCATTCATTTTTTTTAAATTACAGCCAAAAATCAACGGAAGTTTATTTTTGCGCCACCTTGTATTACCGAGTACACATTTTGGAGCTCTAATTTTCATGTTCTCAAATACGGCAAAAATACAAAATTTCGATGAATGGATAATTCCACCTCACTATCGTAGCCTTGGGAATGGCACGATACCTTGAGTGAACCGTCTTTAGACATTGCTTTTTAGATTTTGCTTCAAAAAGTTCAAAGGTTTCTCATTCACTTATACATAATTCCAAATTTTCTTATATATGACTACAACCCTGCACTATGAAAAGGGGAAGAGGCAAGGGGGAGGAATTACAAACAAAAAACTAAGAACATTCTATGGAGTACCCCATAATGCAATAAAAATATCCATAATCATGCCACATTCATTTAAAAAACACCAAAGTCTCTTCATTATGTGTTTCCTACATTACTCAACAAATTTCAAAGCATACTTTTAGGCAACTACAATTGAAATTTAATTCTCGTTATCAATGCGTTATACTGCCAATTGGTAAATAATTTTAAGATAAAATCCCACACAAATTCATATAATTTTCGTACCCAAACAATCCCCATTATCAAAATAGCCCTATAAAGTATTTGAAATCAATATCGTAATTCACTAATAATAGTGATATCGCCAATCATAAAATCAGCGGGAGCTATAAATGAACAGACCATGGTTTTATCAACAAATCAATAATCAGTTCAACCAAAAAAAAAAAAGAAAACATTTCCTATCATTGACTGCGATTGTGGTAACAAGTGACCAATAACGATAATGGCCTTCATTGCTACTCGGTCTGGTGTTGTCTAACCTCTTCAGTATTACAACGTCTTTCTATGACAATGCGGTGCGGCGCTTCACTCTTTGGCCTGGTGGCATTTGTGGCTTTGGTGCATGGCTTACCTGTGGAAAATCCAGCCGCAGCTGGGGACAATTCGAGAATTGTTGGTGGCAATACCACCGACATTGGGGCCCATGGCTATCAGATAAGTTTGCGCAAGAAGAGTCTGTTCTATCCCCAAGATGATTTTGGTCACATTTGTGGTGGGGCCATTCTTTCCGAAAATCATGTGGTGACCGCTGCCCATTGCATCATTGCCACGGTGCCGAGTCAATTTAAGATTGTGGCCGGCAGCAATTTGCATATTGGCAATGACGGTGTCATGGTGCCCGTCAAGGAAATCCTCATGCATGAAAACTATAATCCCGAGACCTATAACAATGACATTGCCATATTGGTTTTGGCCACGCCACTGCCGCTGAACGGCTTTACCATACGTCCAATTGAATTGATTGATGATGCACCGGTTGCAGGGATACAAACGACCATAACGGGTTGGGGTGCCCTCTGGGAGGGAGGTCCCTCGCATCACTTTTTGCAGGAGGTCAAGGTGCCGGTGGTAAGCCATGAGGATTGTAATGTTGACTATGAGGGGATGATCACGGATAAAATGTTCTGCGCCGGCTTGCGAGGTGTCGGTGGTAAAGATGCCTGCCAGGGCGACTCAGGTGGTCCGCTGACAATTCGCAATAAATTGGCCGGTGTTGTTTCCTGGGGTGCCGGCTGTGCTCGTCCTGAATATCCCGGTGTCTATGCAAATGTTTGGACCCTGAAGCCATGGATTTTGGAGAAGATGGCCCTAAATGTTTAGAAAGGGATTGGAAGGTTGGAATTTTAAAATATTATTATTTTTATTAAAAATGTGAGTGAATAAAATTTAAAAATTATTTGTTTTTTTTTAACTATTATTTTTTTTATTTGAAGTAGTTTTAGATTGTGCAAGTAATTTTGGTGGCGTATACGTGCCAATATCAGTTATACGCCCTGAGTATATTGTGGCGTTATCTAAAATTCGAAGTGGCGTACATTATATAGGGATCAAATTATGGATTTAAAAAACAATTCTAAGGATTAAAAGTGAAGTTTTTGTATATTTTTGCAAGGATCAAAACGTGGATTTGTTATATATTTTTTAGGGATTCAATGTGGATTTTTAAATACTTTATTTAAGGATTGAAACGTAGATTTTTTATTAAATATTTTTTCAAATATAAGAGGGTGGATTTTTTGTATATTTCTAAAATATTTTTTTACAAGACATACAGTTCCATATACATGGTTTTTTAAGACTGTCTTTCAAATGACCTTCAGAACAATAAACGTGGATAGTTTAAGAATTTTTGTCCAAGGACATTCAACCAATAAAACATTTTATTTTAGAATGTTTTTAAAAAGACCTTCTGCCAAAGAATGTTACTTAATTTTAATCATTTTTCTTAAGGACCTTCAGTCTACAAAACATTTTTTTTTAATGTTTTTAAAAGGATTGCCAGAAAATGTGGATTTCCGTCCTATGTTCAAACAATTTGTGTAATGGACTTTCAGTCCTACAAACATAGTTTTGTAAGAGTATCTTTCAAATGACCTTCAGAACAATAAACGTGGATAATTTAAGAATTTTTGTCAAAGGATATTCAGCCAAAAAAAAAACTATTTTTTGAAAGGACATTCTGCCAAAGAATGTGAATTTTTTCTAAAGAATTTTCTATAGAACCTTCAGTCTACAAACATGTTTTTTTTAAAAAAAAGACCTACTGCCAGAAAATGTGGATTTCCGTTCTACTTTTAAACAATTTGTTTAATGGAATTTCAGTCATACAAAAAATGTGAATTATTTTATAATTTTTCTAAAGGACCTTTTCTATAGGTGTTTTAAAAAATGCTTTTCAAAGGACCTCCTGGCAAAGAATGTCCTACATTTATAATAATTTAATTTATTTAATGGACTTTCAGTCCTACAAACATGGATTTTTAAAGGAAAATCAGTCCTACAAAGGACCTTCAGTCCCAAAAACTTGGACGTTTTAAGATTTTTGGTACTTCAGTTCTACAAACGAGGTTTTTTAAAGATTTTTTTTTGAAAGACCTTCGTGGATTTTTAAAGAATTTTTTTAAAGGTCCTTCAGTTCTACAAACGTGGTTTTTTAAGAAAAGTTTTTAAGGGACTTTCGTGGATTTTTAAAAATTTTTGTTTTAAAGGACCTTCAGTCCTACAAACTTGGATTTTTAAAGATTTTTTTTAACGAGCCTTCACTCCTATAAACGTGGATTTTTGAAGAACTTTTTTAAAGAACCTTCAGTCCTAAAACGCGGATTTTTGAAGAACTTTTTTTAAAGAATCTTCAGTCCTAAAACGCGGATTTTTGAAGAACTTTTTTAAAGAACCTTCAGTCCTACAAACGTGGAACTTCGTGGATTTTAAAGAATGTTTTTGAAAGCACCCTTAGTCCAACAAACTTCGATTTTTAAAGATTTTTTAAAGGACATTCAGTCCTACAAACATGGATTTTTAAAGATTTTTTTAAAGGACCCTCGTGGATTTTTAACGATTTTTAAAGGACCTTCAGTCCTACAAACTTGGATTTGTAAAGAATTGTTTTAAAGGACTTTCAGCCCTACAATCTTGGATTTTTAAAGAATTGTTTTAAAGGACCTTCAGTCCTAAAACGCGGATTTTTGAAGAAATCCTTTAAAGGACCTTCAGTCCTTAAAAAAATTAAAGGACCTTCAGTCCTACAATCGTGGATTTTTTAAGATTTTTTAAAGAACCTTCAGTCCTAAAACGCGGATTTTTGAAGAACTTTTTTTAAAGAATCTTCAGTCCTAAAACGCGGATTTTTGAAGAACTTTTTTAAAGAACCTTCAGTCCCAAAACGCGGATTTTTGAAGAAATTTTTTAAAGGACCTTCAGTCCTACAAACGTGGATTTTTGAAGAACTGTTTTAAAGGACCTTCAGGCCTACAAACAAGGATTTTTAAATATATTTTTTTTTATTTTAAAAGGAACAACGAATCTTCAGAACATTTTTTAAAGGATCTTCAGCCAAGGAAAGGTTGATTTTTAAATAATCTTCTTCAAAGGACCTTCAAGTAAGGAAATTTTAATTTTTTTAAGAATTATGTTTTAAATGACATTCAGCCAAAGAAAGATGAATTTTTTAAGGATTTTTCTAAAGGATTTTTTTCCTACAAATATGGAATTTTGAAACATACTTTTCACATGACCTTCTGTCCAAGAAACATGTATTTTTAAAGGATATTTTTTCAAAGACCTTCAGCCAAAGAATTTTAAAATTTTTAAGGAACTTTTTGTCTAATAAACTTTGATTTTTGTAGAATTTTTTTTTCAATAAACCTTAAAACAAAGGAACTAAAGAATTGCATGTTGCAGGGACAAACATTTAAGAATTAAGGAATATTTTTGAAAGGCAAAGGATCTTCAGGGTCAAAAACATGTATTTTTCGAAAATATAAAAAAGCTAGAAGTATTTATTTTTGCATGGACCTAAAAAGCTAGATATGTGTTTTCTAAGGACCCTGAAAGGCAAATCCGTTGATTTCCTCAAGGTAAATACATGCCTTTTTCAAAAGTCCTCGGCGTAAAAAAAATTATTTTTCAAGGATTTTGTGAAGAAAAAAATGTGATTGAAAAAATGCGTTAACTTTTAAAAATTTTCCTTAAATATGGTGGTTCAAGAAAAATCATGTTTGAAAATTATTGAAAATGTAAAATAAAGTTCACAAAATTCCCTCGGGTTACCCAATATTATTTTACATTTAAGGAGTTGCCCTCCTGGACGTATACATTCCGACAGCAATTATACGACCTGATGTTCTCTTGAAATTTCCTTAATTCTAGGCTTATAATTTTTGTTGCATTAAGATCCAGATTTTTTTACTTCATCGGAATAAAAACTCACTATCCCACCCTCTATTAAAATAAATGTTCGCAATTTTCTTTAAATGTTCTCAATCATATCATTTTATTCAAATTCCATAACATTCCGAATTCCATTCCTCCTTCATTTACACCTCCAAACCAGTTTTCTCAGCAATCCATGGCAACACAGAAGTCACCCGCGAATAAACACCTGGATAATTGGGACGAGCACAGCCATAACCCCAGGAGACAACACCAACCAAAGTGTCCTTATGGAACAAAGGACCACCCGAATCACCCTGGCAGGCATCTTTGCCGCCCTCAGTGAAGCCAGCACACAGCATACGTTCGGTAATATCACCAAATCCACGATAGGCCAAGGCACATTCATCCTGATTGACGGTGGGTACATTTGTGGCTCTCAACACATGATTCGATTCCGAGGAATTTTGGGTATTACCCCAACCGGATACCGTGACCAAGGTACCATCTGGCAACTCCGCATCACGGCTGGGCAGCTTGGCAAATTCCACTTCAAAGGGCAAAGAGAACAGCTCATAATCCTCCAATTCCAATATGGAGAAATCATAATCGATGTTCATGGGATTGTATTTCTTGTGCTGATGTATTCTCAAAGGTTTCAGCAGGATGCCATCCTTGGCGGAATATGAAGAGCCAAGGCGTACTTTAAATCCAGGATTCACGGCAGAGTGGCCAGCCGTGCAATGGGCGGCAGTGAGGACAAAACGTTTGGCAATCAAGGACCCTCCACAGAAATGGAAACTTCCCTGCAATGAGACCTGGAAGGGTACATCCTGGATGTCCACCTCATGACCGCCCACAATGCGACCATCCAAGCGAGGTAAAGGCAAATAGGCCGCAGATGACCAACCGGCCAGCAGGCATAGGCCCAAAATGTTCAGCCACAGGTTTTGCGTTTCCATACTCGTCCGAGGTGTGGGTAAAACTGTTTGGATTCCAGTGAGAATCTTTGGTTTTTATACTCTCACTTTCCATGAAAATCCAATGGCCCCATACTCTTAATAAATTACGGCTAAGGACTTGCTATCGCTTGCGATTACCCAGCTGAAGGTTAACAGATTTGTGTTAGTAGATCAAGTGGCTTGGATTTTTTTCTTTCATTCACCTGCAATTGTCCAGTGTACCACTTAATTGTTACCAACCTATTGAACACGGTTTCTTGGTCATTTCCAAGATAGTGTAAACATGATTTATGATCACTTCAGACCACCATTACAATGCACTCGTCGGTGGTAGTAGAACAATGGTCTAGGGGGTTTTCCTTTTGGAGAGCGCAATAAATCTGGTGTCCCGTGATTGCATATCAAATGTTTGTTGGTCTTATTCATTGAAAGGGTAGGGACGGGGATCTAGAGGGGTTAATTTATAACCCAGTCTAGTCATGTAAATCGCAAGGGACCAAAGAGATTGCCAAGATTTTAGCTGTAGCTGTAAAATATTGGATGCGATTAGGGGGCCATGACCAAAACAAAGAATAAATAGATTTTTATAAAAAAATACGAATTTCATGATACGTTGAAGACGTGGATTTTTGAAAAAAAAATCGAGTACCAAAAACGCGGATTTTCGATACATGCATATATCGGATGTCAACTTGGTGTTTTATGAACCTTATGAATATTCAATATTTGTGAGGGAGGCAGCAGAGGAAGTGCACCGATATATTCCATCTTCACACCAGACCTTGGGTTGTTAAAAATATTGTGATGTGTGAAATTTGAAGAGGATCGAATCCTTATTTCGGATATTATGATCGTTTTGGGTATTCAAAACGTTCAACCTTTGTGGGGGAGGTACCAGAAGGAATAGTCCGATCTTTACCATCTTTATAACAGATCTTGTGTTGATGGAAATTTTGAGATGTGCCAAATCTGAATGCAATCGGATGTTAACTTCGTGTTTTATGAGCTTCATGAATATTCAGAATTTTGACCCTTTGTGGGGGAGGTACCAGAAGTAGTGGACCGATATATTCCATCTTCACACCAGACCTTGGCTTAATAAAAATGTAGTAATGTGTGTAATTAGAAGACCTTTGGACTCTTACATCCCATTTTATAAGAGTTGTAATTATTCTAAATTTTGACCCTTTGTGGGGGAGTGGACCGATATTGTCCATTTTCGCACCTGACCTACCACTGATGCAAATATTAGGATTTGCGTAGTTGGAGCAAAATCCCATAATCTTTTTTCTTTCTGAGCAGTCAAATATTTTTCTTTGAAAATTTCAAACTTTTTTGTGAGAGGTACCAGAAGGAGTGAACCGGTATTGCCCATCTCCGAACTCGATCTAAGTTTGACAATAATATTTCGATGTACCAAGTTTGGATCAAATCGGATACTACCTTCGAGAGATATCGTGCGCACCAGCCAGCCAGCCAGACAGGCGGACGGACATCGCCAGATCGACACCAAATGGCCTGAAACGGATTTGTTCCAAAAAGACCTAGGGTCTAAAACCGTTCTTTCGATGAGGCACGTTTTGACCGTATCAAATAATATATACCCTCTCTAGCCATATGGCTGAGGGTATAAAAATAAGGAAAGACGCAACAGGAGCCAAGTGGGTCTGGATTTAGACTAGGGATATCATAAATTGCCAATTTGTTCCATTTTTTCAAAGAAATCTTAAACGTGGAATTCGAAAAAAAATATATTTTTTCAAAGTTCTAAAAAAATGATTTTTTTCTAAAACTAAAATATTTTTTTAAAGTTTTGAAAATATGGATTTTTAAGGATTAAGAAAAAAACTTGGATTTTTTAAAAAGTCCTTTTTAAGGACTTTCTGGAAAGTGGAATATTTTTTGGAGGACTAAAACAATTTGGTTCAAGGACTTTCAAAAAAGTGGAATATATTTTGAAGGATTTTAGCCACATGACTGAGAGTATAAAAATCATATTTTAGTCTTAGTTTAGTATTTGAACCCGCTCTCCTCTCGTTTAATCCGAACGACTGGTAATAGAGGAAAATTCAGAAGACTGGACCAAGTTGCCAATATTTCATGGAGTCTTGGATATCTTCCAGATAAGGCCTGGAGGGCGTATGAGTATCAACAACGATTATACGCCCTGTTGAACTTCAAAGGCAAAGCCAACAAATCTTGAGGCGTCCATATATTCAACGGTTTAAAATATTGTACGTATTCATATTCGAAATATTTTAGGGGAAAAAATTATGCTTTTTCTGATCTTCTGCTTCGATCCTAAATTATATCCCCATCCTGACCATATTCAGAAAATACACCCCTTGTTTATTGGATAACTAATAGAACAAAATCTCCAAAAAATATTAAAAAAGTTCGGTATTGGTGTGAACGGAACTTCTTTTTAATTACTGTACCTCCCATGGCGTATACGTTATGACGTTAATTATACGTGCAGGTGAACCCCTATCTAAAAAATCACCCATTTTCTCTCCACACAATTTCGAAACTCTCATGAGTGCATCAAACATTTTTTTTTTTTTAAATCAATCACATTTTCATTACAGTTTCCACACACAAAAATTTTGCAAATATTTTCAAAATTAATTGTGGACCACCTTAATTAACCTCCAAACCAGTTTTCTCAGCAATCCAGGGCAAAACAGACGAGACTCGGGCATACACTCCCGGATAATCGGGTAGGGCACAACCCACACCCCATGACACAACACCGTACAAAATATTGTCACGGAACAAGGGACCACCGGAATCACCCTGACACGAATCTTTTCCTCCCTCAGTATAGCCGGCACACATCATCTGCTCGCTCAACGTGGGGAAGATTTGGGCACAAGCATTACGATTGACAGTGGGAACTTCAACGGCCCGCAACACTGCATTCGATTCCAAGGGATTTTTGGTGCCACCCCAACCGGAAATGGTGGCCAAAGTGCCATCGGGTAAATCTTCATTGGCCCTCGGCAATTTGGCATAAGTCAGCTTAAAAGGCAAAGCATTCTCATCATAGTCTTCCAATTCCAAAATCGAGAAATCATAGTCAATAAAGGAGTAATTGTATTTTTCATGTTGATGGATGCGCAGGACGCGTAGCAGCAGACCACCCTTTTCGGAATATGTAGAACCAATGCGCACACTAAACATGGGGGCAGTGGGTAAGTTGCCATCCGTACAATGGGCAGCAGTGAGCACAAAACGTTTGGCAATCAAGGAACCTCCACAGAAATGATTGTACGACTGCAGGGACACTTGGAAGGGTACATCCCTAATGTCCACTTCATAGCCGCCGACAATGCGACCATCCAGGGGAAGATGGGCCGCCGATGCCAATGTCACCAAAAGGCCAATGGCCAGAGAATTAATCCACAATTTTTGATGTCCCATAGTAATCCACGGGCCAAGGTTAGAGTATAACTGTACTCGAATCGCCTCGAAGGCATGGCTTTTTATAGCACCAACATCAAATTGACCAATGTTTTTTTTTTTTTTTGTTGATTAACTTTAAATATTGCAATAAATTAGCTAAATGATTTGCACGTTATCTTTTGTCGATTTGCAAGCGTTAGATATTTGTTTGTTTCGTTCGCCTTGAAAAAGATATTCTTTATCCCCCACCCCCTTGTTATCAACCAAACGTTGAAGTGAAAGTTTTTTTTTTTTGGTGTTTTAAGGATTGGGGTTTCCTGTGATGTGTGATTTATGTGATTTATTTTTAATTTATGGAAAAAAGTTAAAGAACTTTGCAAAAAAAAAAATAAATAAATAAATAAATAAGTATTTTTAACTTCCCTCAGTAGCAGAGGCGTATAAGAGATATCAACAATTATGCGACCAAATGTACTTCGTTGGGAAATCAATAAATCACGGAATAGATAAGAGTTTGTTTATGTAAATAAACCCCATCGATAGTCTACTAAGTATGGGAGACCTCTTGAAAGGCTTCTGGGTGTGGAAGAACTTTTTATTTTTTGATTTATTTTTAATTTAAAGAAAAAATTTATGGAACTTTGCAAAAATAATTTAAAAAAATATATATTTTTTTACTTCCCTGAGTAGCGACGTCGCGTAAGAGATATCAGCAATTATACGACCTGCTGTACTTCTTTGTCAAAATCTATAAATCTTGGAAAAGACAAAAATTTGTTTATGTATACGAGATCAATGGAAAGTTTACCCTCCTCTTGAAAGTCAGCTTGGTGTATAGGAAAAGGAGTTTTTAATTAAATAAGTTTGCAAAAAAATAAAAGAGAATTTTTGACTTATCCGGTTGTGTTAGCGTATGGGAGATGCCAATATTTATACGACCTGATGTTCTTCTTAGGGAAATCAAAAAATCTTGGAACTGATAAGAATTCTTTTATGAATTCAAAATTTATGGAATGTCTACTAAGTATGGAAGACGTCTACAAAGTGTGCTGACCTTAGAAGAACTTAATGGGGCTGTAGTGTTTAGAACATTTATTGAATGTCTTCAAATAATAAAGCCAGGTAATTTTTAAGAAAATCCAAATTTATTTTATAAAAGGAAAAGTGTTCTGGAACTTTACAAAAATTATAAAAATATTATTTTTAAGTTCCCTCAGTTACGGAGGCGTATGCTTTCCGTCAATAGTTTTACGACCTGGTGTACTTTTGGGGAAAATCATTAATCTTATGCATATAAGACCTTCATATGGCCCTCAGCATATAGGTGACCTCTGGCAGATCGCCTGAGGGAAGTCCAGGAAATATTCTCCGGTAGCGTTGGCGTATGAGAGATATCAGTAGCTATACAACCTGATGTTCTTCTTTGGGAAATCAAAAAATTTGGGAGCAGATAAGATATTTTTTATGTATTCAAGATTTATGGAATATCTACTCCAGGTGGCCCTCTGCGTATGGAAGACCTCCTTAGGAACTCCAGAAAATCTATGAATATCTACGTCTGGAAGACCTCTAGAAGGCCGTCTTTGCCTAAAAGACTTATGGAAGGTCTTTTGAGTATAGTATGAAAATCGTCTGTTCTAGAAGACCTCCAGATAGCCATCTGCGTCTGAAAGACCTCCTTAACCTCTGAAGACCTACACATGGACCTCTAGATGGTCGTCTTTGCCATAAAAGACTCATAGAAGGTTTTTTGAGTATGAAGAAACTCCTGACAATCTTCTGTCCTAGAAGATATCCAGATAGTCCTCTGCGTATGGAAGGCCTCTAGAAGGTCGTCTGTAACTTAAAGACCTGTAGACGGTCTTTTGAGTATAAATGGGACTCAAAAAAAAAACTTTTTGTGCATAGAATACCTCCAGATGACCGTTTGTATTTGAAAGACCTTTAGAAAATCGTCTGTGCCTAGTATAGAGGAAATCCAGAAAATCTTCTGTACATATAAGGCACCCAGATGGCCCTCTGCGCTTAAGGGAACTCTAGAAGGCCTAAAAGTCCTAAAGGTGGAATTCTGCGTGCTCCCAAGGGCTTCGAAGGACTTTTGAGTACAGAGAAACTCCTGAAAATCTTCTGTCTTCTGGAGGAATTAATCTACGTCTGGATGGCCTCTAGAAAGTCGTCTGTGACTTGAAGCTTTTTAGAGGTCTTTTGACTCAAACTTTTTGTGCATAGAAAACCTCCAGACGATCCTTTGCGTCTGAAAGACCTTTAGAAAAACGTCTGAGCCTAAAAGACCCATATAAGGTCATCTGAGTACAGAGGAACTCCAGAAAATCTTCTGCACACATAAAGCACCCAAATGGCCCTCTGCGCTTAAGGGAACTCTGAGGGCTCCCAAGGGCTTCGAAGAACTTTTGAGTACAGAAAAACTCCTGAAAATCTTCTGTCCTAGGAGGCATCTATCTACGTCTGGATGGGCTCTAGAAGGTCGTCTGTGACTTGAAGCTTTTTAGACGGTCTCAAAAGACTTCAAAAAAACTTTTTGTGCATAGAATACCTCCAGATGACCCTTTGCCTGTAGAGGTCTCACAATCGCCTATGCCAAGAAGACCCATATAAGGTCATCTGAAAATCTTCTTTACATAGAAGGCACCCAGATGGCCCTCGGCGCTTGAAAGAATTCTACACGGCCTAAGAGTCCTATAGGAGGCATTCTGCGTGCTCCAATAAGCCTTCGATGTACAGAAGACACCCAGGAAGTGTTAAAGGCCTCATAAAGATTTTCAGAGTATTGGAGACCCCTGAAAGATCTAGAGATCTTTTGAATTAGAAGACCTCAAGGATGTCTCAATCATTCCACCATCTTCCATTGACCCAAAACCATACTGTACCAAATTGAGTACCAAAAATACTTTTTGTGCATAGAATACCTCCAGATGACCCTTTGCGTCTGAAAGACCTCTAGAAAAACGTCTGTGTCTAGGTCTTCTGAGTATAGAGGAACTCCAGGAAATCTTCTGTACATAGAAGGCACCCAGATGGCCCTCTGTGCTTGAAGGAATTCTCGAAGGCCTAAAAGTCCTATTGAAGGCGTGCTCCAAAAAGGCTTCTATGTACAGAACACACCCAGGAAGTATTGAAGGCTTCGAAGTATTGGAGACCCCTGAAAGATCTAGTAGACCTATATGAGATCTTTTGAATTAGAAGACCTCTTGGATGTCATTCCACCATCTTCCATTGACCCAAAACCATATTGTACCAAATTGAGTACCAAAAATACTTTTTGTGCATAGAATACCTCCAGATGACCCTTTGCTTCTGAAAGACCTCTAGAAAATCGTCTGTGCCTAGGTCTTCTGAGTAAAAAGGAACTCCTGTACATAGAAGGCACCCAGATGGCCCTCTGCGCTTGAAGGAATTATAGAAGGCCTAAAACTCCTATAGGAGGCGTGCTCCAAAAAGCCTTCGCTGTACAGAAGACGTCCAGGAAGTATTGAAGGCTTCGGAGTATTGGAGAACCCTGGAAGATCTAGTAGACCTATATCAGACCCAACGCACAAAAAGTGATCGTAGTACGAAATTTTGATTTCCATCTCTAATCCTTGCCCAAATACCCACTAACGTACTTAACGTACTTTTTTTTGAAGGAAGCTCCAGAACCACGTCTTTATTTCAACCCTACCCAACCAACAGTGACCCCAGCAACAACTTTCCAATTTTCCATCTCCCTCCGCTCAAGCAAAACCAAATTTTACCATATTTAGTACCATTTAGTACAGTTTTTACACTTGGTACATGTTTCTAAAACCATCTTCTTATATCAAGCCTACTTTCCAAATTTCCCAATTCTTATACAAAATGTCAAAATTTTAACTCATTGTCGTTACTGAATACAAAATGGTACTAAATTTAGTGATGATTTAGTACTTTTAGTACACTTATAGTTCGAATTTTCATAAAACTCGTTGGTTCATCTATTCCATACCCTATTAGAAGCCTTTATTCCAAATTTCAAAACTCTTGCTCTAACGGTTTGCATAATACCATCGAATTAATTTTTAGTACCTTTTTAGTGCATTTAGTGCTCCATAGTTCGAATTTTCAAAACCCCAGTCCTATCTCTCTTCTACACACTTCCAATTGACCCACATTCAAAATTTCAAGATTTTAGCTGTGGCCGTTTCACTTGGGAGTTGATAATTCAGTCTGCCAGTCAACCATTTATAACTCTACTCTTTTACACATAAATAGGTTAGCATACTTTTAGGAGTTTCACATTTAACCACAACAATTGCGCATAAGAGACCTTTAAACAGCTTTAGCAAATGTTTCACGCATAAATTAGTCATGAGATCCTCTCCCAACTAGAATCCCGCCTTCTTCTTCTTCTCACTGTAGTTTAGAAAATCTCCTTTTCAAGGGAAGTCCCTATTGAAATATTTCCTATCTTTTGAAAATATTGGAATCCAATATTTTTCATTCACACTTCCAGTAACGTTTCGATGCCACATAAATTTACCCCTTCATGACTAACCATTAACCAAATCAATGTCAAAAGAAAATTTCAAAATAAGCAACTGCCGAAATGTTTAATAGATTTGATTTTATGACCATCCGCCTAATCGGATTCTTATCGGCAACAGATAACAACGACTTTTCGACCGAATTTTGTTATTTTAGCCATAAAATATATACAACTGTGATAATATTTTATTTAAAGACATCCTAATACACGATAACAGATAAGAGAGAGAGAGAGAGGGGCGAGCATAAAACCTAATCGAATATTTTTGGTCAATTCTAAATTTGTGGCGGGGTCAGCTGGCTGGCAGTTGCGTTTTGGTAGTGCACATCTAAGGAAGTAAAAATCTGGAAAAAAATGTGGAAATTCGCTTTGTTGTTGGTGTTTAGCCTAAGTGCCGCTGTTACTGCTACCGGGGGCCTTGAGTCCCGCATTGTGGGCGGTGTAGAGGAGTCAATTGCTGCCAGCCCCCACCTTGTGTCGTTGCGTTACAAAAAAAATCAATCATCTCCCTTTGAACATCGTTGTTCGGGCACCATCTATTCCGAGAGCATTGTACTGACCACAGCCACCTGTGTCATTGGTCTGGAGGCAAATCACATACACGTTTTAGCCGGTTCCACATATCGTACCGGCCAGGATAGCCCCTTGTATTTGGTGGAGAAATATCTTCTGCATCCGGACTATAACATTTGGTTTACCGACAACGATTTGGCTTTGGTGAAATTGGCCTTTGCCTTATCACCATTTCCCACCAAGGAAATTGCCTCAATCCCAGTGGCAGATACCCTACCACCGTCTGGTAATGTGGCCACAGTTTCTGGTTGGGGTACAACTGTTGCCGAGGCAAATGCCGAATATTCCGATAGCCTACAGATGGCTCAGGTTTCAGTGGTGGATCAGGCGGAATGTCGTCAGATTTATGGTGGAAATCGCATTACGGATGCCATGATGTGTGCCGGTGCTGGAGACACTGCCGATGCCTGCCATGGTGATGCCGGCGGTGCTTTGGTCTATCAGGGAGCGGCCGTTGGTTTGGTATCATGGGGACGTGATTGTGCAAATGCCGAGTATCCTGGTGTCTACACGAACTTGGTCCACTTCAAATCGTGGATTGAAAGTGAGGCAGGAAAATTGTAAAAATGTTTTTTTTTTTCTAAAAAAATAAATTTTGAAAATAAGAACATTTTGGATTTTTTTTTTGGAAGACGAAATTTTTTTATAAAAAGCAAGGTCCCAGAACATGGACAAAAAAGTACAGATTCAGGAACATTTTTTGGTTATTCATAAAATAATAACCAGGATATTCATCAACCCCCAGCTATAACCTTGAATTTTCGCATGTGGGTCAATTTTGGTGTGTAAGGCTGGGGTTTCGGAATTCGAACTATAAGTGTACCAAAAGGTACCAAAAATTTAATTTTTTTAAAAGGCGTTTTTTTTGTAAAGTATCCAGGAATATCGGAAGACCTATTGGTTCATTATAAAATAAAAACTAGGATGTTCATCAACCCCTTAGCCGTTTTGGTCTGTAATTCGAACTATTAGTGTACCAAAAAGTGAAAAAATCGGGTTAAACGGATAAAATTAGAATTTTGAAATTTGAAATGAGGGTCGCTAATGGGATTTAGATGGAAATTCAAAACATAAGTGTACTAAAAGTACTAAAAAACCCAAAATTTGGTACCATTTGGTAATTTGTGAACGGACAGAGCTAAAATATTGACATTTGGTATAAGAAATTTGGGAAGTGGTTGGTTTAGGAAATTTGTAATAAAAAAGTACCGAAATTACTAAATGGTACTGAATTTGGTACAATATGGGTTTGGGCAACGGGTGGAGTTGGATTTTTGAAGGGTGGGTGGGAGGTGGTAGGTGGATTTTCCAAACTAATGCATTTGATCAAAACCAAACCTATCAAAACATATATAAATAAAATATTCTCAAATTTTTGGCCATTAACAGCTAAAAAGTAATTGAACAAAACATTAGCATACTTTTAGGGTTTCCACACTGAATCACAACAAGTAATTCATCAAACTGTCAAAACGCCATTGATCAAATATTTGAATAGAGGCATAATTAAAACCCTCTTGGTCTCTGCACTATTTCTGCTTTTCTCTATTGCTCTCCCTCTCTCTGTTTCTTTACGACCCCCTAACAAAGTGAGGCTTATCTCCCATTACTGGCCACCACTAATCTTTATAATCGACCATAACATGTTTAGATTACCCAAATATAAAGTACATTTTAAAGAAAAATAAAAAACACACAGTTGTCGTACTTCTCAGCAATTTTAGTTTTATTTTCAATTGCTTTTCTCAGCATTTCCTTAACTCAATAGCACGGCATTGCCCAAAGAACCCATCCAGATAACATTCCAAACCCTCAAAGAAACCCATTAAAAATTTATTCCACTTTTAGTTAATAGACGAAACTCAAGCCGGAAAGAGCCAACAATGTTCAAAACTGCATCGATTATTTTACTGCTATCCCTGGCTGCTGGGGCCTGGGCAGCGCCTCAAGCACGTATTGTGGGTGGCCGTGAGGTGGACATTGCCAAACATCCATATTTGGTGTCGATACGCTACAGATCCACTGCCAATGATTCCTACATTCACAAATGTGCCGGTGCTATTTATTCGGCAAGGGCGGTCATCACGGCTGCCCAGTGTGTGGTCGACATTCAGCCGGAAGAAAAGGTAATGGTTGTGGCTGGGGCCAATACCCGTCTGGGTTATGATGGCATGCCTTATCCCGCCTTGAAATGGATTCACCACACCAGCTATTCCGAGTGGACAGTGGACTATGACATTGCCGTAATTATCATCGATGATACCTTTGACTTCACCCATACTCTGATAAAACCACTGCCGATACGTGAATCCCGTCCCGCAAATGGCCGTTTGATGACCGTTACCGGTTGGGGTTATCAGGAGGAGAGTGGTCCATCCACCAGAACCCTGGAAGAAGTTGATGTGCCCGTAGTCGGTAATGATGAGTGCGGCAGTTTGCATGGCGCTGGTGAAATAACGGAACGCATGATTTGTGCCGGCTATCTGAGCGGTGGCAAGGATTCATGCCATGGCGATACTGGCGGTCCTTTGGTTTACAATTCCGAGTTGGTGGGTTTGGTTTCGTGGGGCCGTGGCTGTGCCAGGCCCAATTTGCCGGGAGTTTATACATATGTGGCCAGTTTGAAGAAGTGGGTTGAGGACACCATTGCCGCTAATTTGTAATAACGTTATTATTGATGTTGTTGCTGTTGTTCTTTGAGAAATAAACTTTTTTATGTTGGTAATAAAATTGCATGGAATTTTACTCTTGAAAATGGTAGGGCAGTATTTTAGAAAAGACAAAATGGATCAATAGGTCTCCTTCTATACTGGAGATGAACCATTATACCTACTTCTCAAAAAGAAGAAGGCCTATATGACCTTCTTCTATACAGAAGACGCCCTATAGGATCTTCTTCTATACAGAACACGGCCAATATGACCTTCTTCTATACAGAAAAGAGCCTAATGGGGCTTTTTCTATACAGAAGACGGCCTAATGGACCTCCTTCTATACAGAAGACGGCCTAAAGAGCATTCTTCTATGCAGAAGATGGCCTAAAGAGCCTTTTTCTGTGCAGAAGACAGCCTAAAGAGCCTTCTTCTATGCAGAAGACAACCAAATGGGCCTTCTTCTATACAGAAGACGGCCTAATGGTCCTTCTTCTATACAGAAGACGGCCTAATGGATCTTCTTCTATACAGAAGACGGCCTAATGGGTCTTTTTCTATACAGAAGACGGCCTAATGGGCCTTCTTCTATACAGAAGACGGCCTAAAGGGCCTTCTTCCATACAGAAGACGGCCTAAAGGGCCTTCTTCCATACAGAAGACGGCCTAAAGGGCCTTCTTCCATACAGAAGACGGCCTAAAGGTCCTTCTTCCATACAGAAAACGACCTAAAGGGCCTTCTTCCATACAGAAGACGGCCTAAAGGGCCTTCTTCCACACAGAAGACGGCCTAAAGGGCCTTCTTCCATACAGAAGACGGCCTAAAGGGCCTTCTTCCATACAGAAGACGGCCTAATGGACCTCCTTCTATACAGAAGACGGCGTAATGGACCTCCTTCTATACAGAAGACGGCCTAATGGACCTCCTTCTATACAGAAGACGGCTTAAAGAGCCTTCTTTTATACAGAAGACGGCCTAAAGAGCCTTCTTCTATGCAGAAAACGGCCTAGAGGGTCTTCTATGCAGAAGACGGCCTAAAGAGCCTTTTTCTGTGCAGAAGACAGCCTAAAGAGCCTTCTTCTATACAGAAGACGGCTTAAAGAGCCTTCTTCTATACAGAAGACGGCTTAAAGAGCCTTCTTCTATACAGAAGACGGCTTAAAGAGCCTTCTTCTATACAGAAGACGGCTTAAAGAGCCTTCTCCTATACAGAAGACGGCTTGAAGAGCCTTCTTCTATATAGAAGATGGTCTAAAGAGCCTTCTTCTATACAGAAGACGGCTTAAAGGCCCTTCTTCTATATCGAATACGGCATAATGGCCCTTCTTCTATATACAGAAGCTGGTCCAGCAGACGATCTTCTATGGAGAAAATTAACCAAATGAGACGTCTTGCATACAGAAGACGGCCTAATAGGTCTTATTTTATGAAGAAGACGGTCTAGCATTCTTTTTTACAGCAGATGATCCAATAGTTATCGTATTCTCCTATATAAAATACGTTTCCGTCGGTCTTCTTGTATGTGGAAGATGACCGAGTCCCTTTTGTAAAAAATTGGACACTATGAGACCCCTGATGTAAAAAGTAAATTCTATCTGTTCCCTGTTCGGTAACGTCCCATTTGTTATCTTTTCCTATTCACAACTCAGCGAATCCTTTTAATTTAAAATTCCTTCAACACAACTTATCAACCAAAATGCTTCTTCTTCTTGAACTTGAAATGAAATGCAATACGAAATGACCGCAAACTTTCGTTGGAGAAGAGAGCGAGAGTTGTTCAAATAATAATGTCTCTCTCATTCACTTTCTCCACATCTAAAGTTCGCCCAAACCGGCCGCATTGAAATTACTTAATCGCTCGTCCACTACTGGTCTTCATTGAAAACAATCTGAAATGAAATCGCTATCAGTGGCGAATATAAAATCGATTTTTTTTTAAATACTCCCCTAATCTATGGCCATATCTGGATGATATATTATTTAGACAAGCTATCAAAGTAAACAATGGCAATTTAATTTAACGCTCAGCGTCGACCAGGAAACCCATGGAATTAAACCGTTAACAAATTTATTTCAGTTGAACGTAAAAATTTCCCCACTGAAGACCTCTGAAGGGCGAGACGGAAAAAGACAACCAAAAAAAATAGAGAAAAGATGAAGATTTGTATCAGCCTATTGGCCTTGGTGGTGACCTTGCAGCTGGTTTCATCCAGCAATGCTGGCAAAGTCGAACGTTTGGTGGGCGGCAATGTTGTGGAGTCACACATAACCCAATTCCCCTATGAAGTATCGGTGAGACGCCGCTTCTGTGATGCCTGTGCCTATGAACACTACTGCAGTGGCACAATTTTGTCCAGCAAAGTGGTGATAACTGCCCGTTCCTGTCTGCAGGATGCTGTGCCACAACGCACTCAGGTTGTGGCTTCTACCAGCAAACGTTCGGCCTCGGCCCAAGATGGCCAGGTGTATTTGGTCGAGGGTTTCGTTGAACACAAACACGCCGATATTGCATTGATCCACCTAGCCCTGGAGTTGGTCTTCAATGAGTTGAGCATAGTGCCCGTTACCCTGGCCACTGAACTACCAGCGAAAGGTACCAAGGCTTTGGTGGCCGGCTGGGGTCAATTGTCGGAATTCGAAGCTAATTTCGATGATGGTTTGAAAGCGGTAGAGGTGCCGATTATGGATTTGACTGAATGCCGCAAAGCCTATTTCTGGACCGAAGTTAAGGATTGGGAATTTTGTGCCGGCTATTTGCAGGGTGGTGTTGACGCATGCCAAGGTGATGCTGGCAGTCCATTGATGGTGGATGACCAAATGGTAGGTATCGTTTCCTGGGGCTATGGCTGTGCTCGTCGCGGCAATCCTGGCGTCTACACCAATGTGGTGTTGTTGCGTGAATGGATCGACCAAAATTCCAATATTTTCATTGATTTTTTGTAATTTAAAAAACAGGTTTGAGTGGAAATTGCGATCCAAAGTGAAGATTATAATAATAATAAAAAAGAACCAAAATTATTGAAAATTGTAAAAAAAATAATAATAAAAATAAACGTTTAAAGGGTGCGTATTTATAACAGGGACCCAGAGTGTCGTCTTCTGCATAGAAGAGTACCAATTTACCAATATTGGCCAAAAATAGAATCCATTACAGTATCTTCTTTCAAAAAGATCATTTGGCGGTATTCTCTACAAAGCAAAGACCCATTAAACTCCCTTCAGAAGAGATCCATATGAACATCTTCCATAGAAGGAGGACCGATTGGCCATTCTTTTTCGCGGAATGAATTATTCGTCTTCAACAGAAGACGAGTCAATTGTTCTCCTTACATAGAGATGGGGCTTTCATTGGTGTTTTTCTATGCAGAAGACGGCTCAATTGGCCCTTTTCTATACAGAAGTTGGGAGAATAGGCCTTTTTCTATACAGAAGACGCCTGAATAGACACTCTTCTATACAGAAAACCGCTGGAAAGGCATTCTTCTGTACAGAAGACTGCAGAATAGCCCTTCTTCTACATAGAAGACAGCTTAATAGACCTTTTTCAAACCAGAAGACGTTTGAAAAGGCTTTATGTTATACATAATACGGCTGAATAGGTACTCTTCTATGCAGAGGACGGCTGAATATGGCTACTTTTATACAGAAGACGGCTCAATAGACCTTCTTATAAGCAAAAAACGGCTGGATAGGTCTTATTCTATACAGACGACGGCTGAATATGCCTTCTTCTGTACAGAAGACGTCTGAATGGGGCTTCTTCTATACAGAAGACCGCATAATAGGCACTCTTCTGATCAGAATGCGGCTGAATAGGCCTTCTTCTACACAGAAAACCAGAAGACGGTTGGAAAGGCCTTATTTTATGCATAACACGGCTGAATAGGTATTCTTCTATGCAGAGGACGGCTGAATATGGCTACTTCTATACAGAAGACGGCCCAATAGGCCTTCTTATAAGCAAAAGACGGCTGGATAGGCCTTATTCTATACAGACGATGGCTGAATAGGCCTTCTTCTGCACTCAAGACGGCTGAATGGGGCTTCTTCTATACAGAAGACCGCATAATAGGCACTCTTCTATTCAGAATACGGCTGAATAGGAATTCTTCTATACATAAGACGGGTAAATACGCCATCTTCTAAATAGAAAACGGCAAACTAGGCATTCTTCTATAAAGAAAACGCCTAAATAGACCTTCTTCTATACACAATACGGCTCAATAAGCCTTTTTTATTACATAATACGGCTCAATAAGCCTTCTTTATTACATACAGAAGACGACATAATGGACCTTATCCTATACTGAAGACGGCTGCATAAGCCTTATTCTATACAGAAGTCGGCTGAATAGACACTCTTCTATACAGAACACGGCTAAATAGGACCTCTTCTATAACCTAATGGGCCTTCTTCTACACAGAAGACGATCTAATGGGCTCTCTTCTACACAGAAGACGATCTAATGGGCTCTCTTCTACACAGAAGACGAACTAATGGGCCTTCTTCTATACAGAAGACGAACTAATGGACCTTCTTCTATACAGAAGACGACCTAAAGGGTCTTCTTCTCTATATAAGACGGCCTATTGGTTCTTCTTTTATGCAGAAGACGGCTGAGTCTATATATAGACTGCTCCACAGGACTTCCACGCAGAAGAAGGCTAAAAGGGGGTCTTCTTTTAAACAGAAAACGCTTCAAATGGCTTTCTTCTATACCGACGACGGCACAAGAGTCATTCTTTTATACAGAAGACTGCTTAATAGGTCTTCTTCTTCACAGAAGAGGGCTGAATTGGCCTTCCTCTATACAGAAGACGTCCCAATAGGCCATCTTCTGTGCAGAAGACGGCACTTCAGACCTTCTTCTATAAAGAAGATGGCTGAACGGATCTTCTTTTATTCAGATTATGGCTAAACGGATCTTATTTTGTACATATAAAACATCTCCATTGGCCCTCAACTATATAGAAAGCGGGTCAATAATCTTCTATGAGAAGCTACCCAATGAGTCTCTTCCTATAAAGAAGAAGACCCAGTGTTTCATCATAAGGACGACCAAATGGGACCTCTTCTATTGGAAATCTCGACCCATCTTCTTCTTAAAGAAAGACGAGTCAATATTTCCTCTTCTATGGAAAACAGAATCGAAAGGGACCTCTCCATAAAGAAGGCCGAGACAATGGGTCGTCTTTTATAAAAAAGACTACCTACCTAGTCGACCTAAAGGGTTTTTACCTAATAAAAAAGATGACTCAATTACCCTCTTCTAAAAATAACCCAAGTTAATATATTCTCTTTTGTAGAGAGACTATGCGAAATATGATCGAATGACTTCTTTTCTGTATAGAAGACTAGCCACTGATCCCTCTTTTAGACAAAAGACGACCAAATGGTTTCACTTCAAGCGATTCTCTTTTACAAAGAAGTCTAGACATAGGGTTATCGTCTCTAAAAATATAGACTCATATCACGACCTTCATAAAGAAATTGTCCCAATCGTTGGTCTTCTAGAGATTTCCCTTTCCTAGTAATTAACCGCAAAGACCAGGTCCCCCAACTCCCTTAAACCTTCAATTGAATCATTCATTTTAATTTCAATTTTCCTTTATTATCATCCCCTTACAAAAAAGCATATTCAACAGTGTTCACACGAGCCGTATTCTCAATCCATTCGTATAGATCAGGTACGGAAGCATAAACACCTGGGAACAGACGACGGGCACAGCCAATACCCCACGATACAATGCCCAACAATTCGTTGTTGCGGATCAATGGGCCACCCGAATCACCTTGGCAGGCATCCTTGCCACCACCGGTAACACCGGCGCACAACATGCGATCGGTCAACATCAGCGGGTAGGACTTCTTGCAGCTGCTTAGCTCAACATAGTTGACAGTGACTTGTTGCAATTGATTAGGGATATCGCCACCCTCAACCAGGGTACCCCAACCGGTGACAATAACTTCGGCCCCAGCTTCGGGTCTGGCCTTGGCCAAGCTGATGGGTTGAATGCGATTGTTGAATGGGAAGTTGCCACGTAATACCAAAATGGCAACATCATAATCATTGGACGATGTGTACTTCTCGTGGACAATAATTTTGCTCACCGGCAATTCCCATGTAACATCATCCAAATAGGTGGAACCGGCAACAATGGTCAAAAGGCTGAGATCCAATTCGCCAACCACACAATGGGCAGCCGAAACAATGATGTTACTGCTGTAGACACTGCCACCGCAACGATGTCTGCCGCGATAACGCATCGAAATTTGATGGGGATATTGTTCGATGTGGGCATCGGAGCCACCAACAATACGGCCATCCAACATGGGTACCGCGGAGAGTACGTTGGCGGCCATTAAGCCTGGCACGACGAGCGCGCACAATAAAACGAAATACTTTAACATCCTCAGGCTACCACGCTGCTAGCACTAAGCGTTGTGCATAAGATTACGCCATATTTATATGGAGTGTGAAGCGATAAATGGGAGCGAATTGTAGATTATGCCGCCAATATCAAATGCCAATAAATCAAGGCGTAATCTTTTATCTTGGGATTTTTCACGTTCATATTGGCAGCAACAATAACAACAACAATACAATACTACGTAGAAGTTTTGTTGCAGATTGATTTACTGACCAGACATCGTTTTTGGAAGTGGAGTCTGATAGGAGTTTGATTTGCATTGGAGATTTTGGTGGAACTATTGGAGGATTGTTTTCATTTTTGCTGGTCAAAAATTCCAGGAAGATTTTGCTCTGCTATCATTTTCGCTCATTCCTTAAAAAAATATGGTTTTTGTCTTTGTTTTAAATTCTCTGAAACAGTGGCATTTAAAATATATATATATTTTTTTTTTAATTTTTTGTAATTGTTTATATCTCTCATTCCATTCATAATTCTTCATATTTCTTAATGTGTGTGTGTGTGTTTCGCGAAAAGATTTTAATAATGGCTTAATGTAAGTTGGCAACACTGAAATATTTTTATCTGTGAGCCAGACCAATCTGTTAAAATACCATTGAAATGATCAATTTCAAAGCATACTTTGAGGCGTCAATGTGCTAATCAACAAAAAAAAACATGGAAGACATAATAAATTGAAAATGGCTGGAAATGAAAGGGTAATGGAAAGCAAATTGAGCCAAAATGGCGAGAAAAGGATCTCCGTTAATAGAAACAAGTGAAAAAACATTAAGTTCGGCCGGGCCGAACTGTTAATACGTGGAAGGTAAAGGAAACATTTTATATAAAAGTATCTAAATTCAAACGTGCTCCACTTTAAACTACAAATACCAGTAAGACCGCTGGGATAATGCTGTTAAACTTTTCAAAAAACCATAATGTGGGTGAGCCTGTTCTTTTGGGGGTCATACCAAAACGGAAACCCCTGTAGACAATTTTATACTTCAAGGATTTTCATCTACCAAATCTTATTAAATATCAAATTTGAAACAATTTCGTGGGTAAATGTGACTAGGATTATCAAAATACCGAATATCGGTGGGTATCGTTATGTGTGCGCTATACGAAAATGTGGACCTAAATATTCAATGTTCTACCACCGGAACTAGAACCCATTATGACCTACAAATACCAATTGTTAGATAAATCCGTGAAAAAAATTGGCAAAAATTATCAAAATACCGAAAATCGGGAGGTACCGTTATATGGGGGCTTTACAAAAAACGTGGACCTAAATTTTCAATGTTCTACCACCGGAACAAGAGCCCATTATGACCTAAAAATACCAATTGTTAGACAAATCCGTGGAAAAATGTGGCAAAAATCATCAAATTACTGAATAGCGGGAGGTTGCATTATCTAGGGGCTATAGGAAAACGTGGACCAATGCATACTATGTTGTGCCACGGCGGCTAGAACCCACTGCGAACTACATATACCGATTTTTGGAAAAATCCTTGGAAAATTGTGGCAAAAATTATCAAAATACCGAATATCGGAAGGTAACGTTACATGGGGGCTATACAAAAACGTGGACCTATACATACACAATGTTTCACCACAAGATCTAGAAGGCATCATGACCTACCAATACCGATTTTTAGACAGATCCGTGAAAAAATGTGGCGAAAATCATCAAAATACCGAATATTGGGAGGTACCGTTATATGGGGGCTATGCGAAGAACTGGAACTGCATAGAAAATTTTCTTTCATAGACTGTAGTGTCCATTAGGAACTTCAAATACGAAATTTGAAACAATTCCGGTGAATAATGTCGCTAAAATCATGTAAATATCGAATATCGGGGGACACCGTTATATGGGGGCTACACAAAGGCGTAGGTCTGCATAAGTAATTTTTCGTCATAGGCTGTAGTACCCATCAGCAACTCAAAATACGAAATTTGAAACAATTCCGGGCAATGATGTCCCTAAAATCATGAAAATACCGAATATCGGGGGGTACCGTTGTATGGGGGCTATACGATATCGTGGATCTATATAGATAATTCTCTTTTAGGGAGTAAAGTACTAAAAAAGAACTTCTTTTGTGTATTTTCAGACAATTCTATTGAAAAATTTGGCTACAATCATCAAAATACCGAATATCAGGGGGTACCAATATATGGGGGCTATATAATATGATATCGTGGACCGATGTAGCCCATCTTCGAACTTACCCTGCTTGCAGACAAAAGACTGATGTGTGCAAAATTGTAGCTTCCTATCTTAATTCGTTTTGACTCCAGCGTGATTAAAACAGATGGACGGACAGGGCTAAATCGTCTTAGAATTTTATGCTGATCAAGAATATATACATACTTTGTTGGGTCTACAATTTTTTTCGAGGAGTTACAAACGAAATGACGAACTTCATATACCCTCCATACCATGTATGGAAAAAAACGAGGGAGATTTTGGATTTGGTCGGCTGTATAGTCGGTAGCACCCATGGTAGAAGAATATAGGTAGATGCATCAACGCTTGGGAACATTGATATGTCAAAATTTTTTAAGTGCTTTGTCAAAAATAAGTCAATTTTTATATATTTTCTTATACGACGCAAATCGGGTGTTGTAATGATATGTATTTTTCAACAATTTTTACAAATTTCAATATTTTTTCATTCACGATTTTCAATATCAAAATCGGTTTGACAGTTCATTGTTCCAGCAGCTGTGTCGATGCGTCTACCTAAATTCTTCTACCATGGTAGCACCCCAACAACATGTCAAACTTGGCAGCATTTCTTTGATGAACAGTTAAGAGAAAGTTACCTGTAGTTCGATTCTCTAACTCATTTTTCGAGTTACCAACAAAATTAATTTTTCATAAAGTTACGTTACGTCCTGTCGATGGCAACAATGTTGTCAACTTAAATTTGGACATTTTATTCACAATTTTGCGTTTAAATTTTACCGATATTTGTGGGTAACTCAAAAAATGCATTAGAGAGTCCCACTGCATTTGTCCTCCATAAAAAGAACTATAGCATGCAAAATTTTTGTATTTTATATAAGAATAAGGAAAAATGAGTAAAAAAAAGAAGAACTTCCATTACGCTACTTGGTTCACTGAAAAAAAAAAAAAAAAAAACAATTTTCAAAATAACAAAAAAATGTTCAAGTTGTTCGCAGAAAAATAAATCACGCAATTAATTGTCGCAGGAGGAAGAAGAAGAGTAACAGAAGATTTCAACAAGAAATTTGTCCGGCAAGACTTTGCAAAATCTCAGTAACTGTCAATTTCTCTTTTACATCGCTCTCTTTTGCCGAACATTTAAGTAATCAGACACGATTCAAAATTTGCAACAATTGCTCCAAATTTTTGAGCTGCAAGAGTCCCATTTTTTTATTTCCTAATCGTATTCTGATATAATCTAAAGGTGAGAATACATAAAACGCTTTTTTGACAGACTTAAGTTATCGGCTGGCTTCTTCGGAACAGAACAAAGGATTCAACCTAAAACTTCAACCTAAAACTTCTTTGTTCCTCAAGTAGAAGCCAGTGGATGACTTAAGCCAGTCAAAAAAGGGTTTTATGCTTTATAACCTTAATTCTCCATTCGACCCATATAAAGTGTAGCCAAATCTCAAATATATTATCTTTCATATCTCACTCTTACGAAACTTTTAAGTTAACAGACGCAATTCAAAATTTGAAACATTTCTTGTACATTTTTGCCTTAAAGAGGCCTATTTTTTCATTTGCAATCGTATTCTGATCCAATTCTTCCTTCGCCTCATATAAATTCTGTAAAAGTGCAACCAAATCTCAAATATTTGCTGTCAAATTTGTAATATATTTATTTTTAATGCTTCTTTCAAAATATATTTACAAATAAATGTTATATATGTGTATTTTTTGGATAAATATATAATAAAATAGTTAAATAAAACATTGTTCATTTTTGGCTTAAGTTTTTAGTAAAAATTTGTTCGTTTTTGGCGGAAACAGAATGAGGACTTCATGCTTTTTTTTCTGGCTTCATTACACTATGGGGGATTGTCAGAGCCTTAAGGTGTGAGTACATAAGTAGCTTGGCATCATGACTAGGCATATTAATGTCAAATTTTAAAGAAAACGGCGGCAGAATTTGAGTGCGGTTCTGGAATTATGATATATTACAAAATACGCCATGCCAAGACTTGAAGCTGCTTATGTATTCTCACCTTTACTTTTTCAACTCCTTACATCCTCAATTCCTCAATTTTTTTAGACATTCGCTTTACAAATAGGGCTGGGCATTTTCCAAAACCCATTGAGTATGATATGGAACACTGGCATAAACACCGGGGAAACCTTCTCGAGCACAACCAATACCCCAGGAAACAAGACCCACCAATTTGCCATCTACCACCAATGGACCACCAGAATCACCTTGACACGAATCCTTGCTCGAATCCTCAACTCCAGCACAGATCATTTCCTCGGTAATGTCATAACTGCGACTGGCATATTGGCTACTGCAATACTCACGATCGACAATATTCAATTCGACCATTTGCAAATGATTGGATATGTTTGTGGCATCCTCAGAACTTTTACCCCAACCACTTACGATGGCAGTGCGACCAGCTTGGGGTTTCTCTGCAGCCAATGGAATGGCTTGCACACTCTCCGAATACACCAAAGGATCGGCCAAAATAATGAGACCCACATCGTTGACATGGGTTTTTTTATTGTATCCAGGATGAGAAATTAATTTGATGACTTCATGGCCCGGATCATTATCGAGCAGAGAGGATTTTCCAGCCACAATACGTATGTTCGAAGCATAACGCCCCTTGATGCAATGGGCCGCGGTGAGAATGACGCGAGAAGCATAGATGGCACCACCACAAATATGCAGCAAAGTGTTTGTATCCAAACGTACCGAGACCTGGTATGGCAGGCGCTCAATAGCAGTTTCAACCCCGCCAATAATATGTCCTTCTTTGCCAATGACACCGCTTAGCTTGGGTGGTATCACCGAGGC